CTCCAGGAGGCTCGCAAAGCACCATATCCGCTCCAACGGATCTCCAACTAGCGGCAACTTCGTCCCCGTCCACGTTGATCATCATGAAGATCAATCGCGTTGTTCTTCCGGAGCCCCTGTTCTCCGGCGGCATCATTCTAGACCGCGCAAAGAACAACTGGTTCGAATGGAAAGAGTACATTACTCAGTCGCTGAAGATGTGCTCGCTCTGGGACTATCTAGTCGGCCTCATCCCTGTTCCTGACTCTACGGCCGACCCGGAATCCGCTAAGAACTACACCGGCAATGAGCGGGTGATCATCGCTTTCCTGCGATCAAAGGCGTCACGGGAGGAACAGAACTTTATGAAAGGCTACACCGAGGCGCAGAAAGTCTGGACGGCTCTCTGTTCTCGCCACGAGAAGGAACTGGGGCCGTGTACGCAGTTTGTTCTCCTGCAGCAGCTTTTCGCGTGCCGCTATTCACCCTCGGAGCACTACTCGGTCATTTCCACGCGTATCGCCGAGCTGGTCGATCGCATCTTCAGGATCGGACCTCTAACCCTGGACGTGCTGGTCACGGCCGTCATGCTGAATGCTATGGACGGCCACCTCGAGCATCTGCGGTCTCAAGTTTACACGCATCTCTTATTCGCGACCCCGTCTGCTCCGTACGGCCCCACTCAGATCGTTCAGCGCCTGGACTGGGAGCAGCTGATGGCCGACGCCCCTGCAACTGCTGGTGGCTCCGCGCTCTTCGCAAAGGGAAAACCTGGCCGCTCGGGTCAGAAGGTGTGCACTAATCCGTCCTGTCCGCGCAAAACCGGCCACACCATAGCCGAGTGTTGGTCCTCGGGCGGTGGTATGGAAGGCAAGCGGCGGGATGAAGCCTTAGCGAAGAAGAAGCGTCGTCCTGCGAAGTCCAAGGACAGTGCGGTTGTTGCGTCGAGCGCTATGGTCGATGCCCAGGGACGTCCCCGGTTCATTGTCGACAGGAACACTGGCCGTGCCTACATCCTCGGCGCTGGTCCTGCCTAGTCTGGCACCTCGCATTCCGTCTCCATCTGCGGTCGACACGTCTGATCCTGGGTTCGTTAGGATGACTACGGACGCTACTCCGAGGAGGCTTGTGTCTGTTGCCACGCAGGACTCGGAAGATCTGCTCGAGTACGGACGCATGCTCAGAATGGAACGCAGAGTTCCAATGTCTTATAATCATCAGTTGTTTCGCATAGCTCCGCTGCGATCTTGTTGTGTCTTAGAAGACTAGCAGCACCACCTGTGTCGTGCAGCGTAGCCTGGTGCAAGGCCTGCTGTAGTACGGCATTCGCTGCCCGAGTAAATCATGTTACACGTCCTATGAAGCAGATTTACTAGGCGGCGTCAACGTTCAGAGCGCCTCTAACAATAGCTGCGATGCTGGAACACACAGATTCTTTCCAAAGCAAGCCTCAAAGCTCACTCAAGCTCGGCGCGCGACGCGCGTCGCACGACTGGGGTCCATATGCCACGTGATCGCGTTTGGTCCAAACGCCCGCCGCCCGAGACTGGGCGCTTTTCACTGCTCAGGTCGATTTCAAGTCAGTCAGGAACGAACTGCCAGTTCGTACAGCCTTACACGATGTTTCTCGGGACGAACGATCAATTACGCTTGTCTATCATGTCTTCGTGCAGTAAGGGTCTGAACGATCTGAACCCTTCGGTCAAGCCTTGCCCACCGTGGCTCCAGCTCATAAGGAACCTCTGATTCGGTATCTGGAATCTGCACCATCCGACTCTCCTCCATGCCCCTTAGATACATTCGCCGAAAAGTGACCTCTGATAATGCTGTCACCATCGCGATCGCGACAACAGCTGCTGCGACGAATCTGGCGGGCATCGCAGCTTTTCCTCCAGTAGCTGTCCCTGCGGCCATTCTCTTGAAGATATTCCAAGTCATTCAGGTGCGTCTTCATCAGTCTGCTCATATAGTATCATAATTTCACAGTCTCATCGTGGAATACAGGATGTCAAGGCGAATCAGGAGCAATGCTACGACCTTGCGTTACGATGCCTGTCGTTCCTCGATCTCATCAGGGACCAAGTACTGGATCGCAACAGAGATGTGCCTCCGTCCCTTGTGGATGCGTTGCGAGATTTTGCCCAGTACGTACCCCTCGCGTGAATTCTTACACGATTAATGAGACCTCACTCTGCCTAGGGCACTGGAATCCATTCATTCCTTTCTCATGAGTCAAGCTGAGAGCAACTGGCGGACGCGTTTGGTCCGCAAAGGAAGCGTGGAAGCTGTTTTGGCAGCTCTCAATGCAGAACTCGACGACGCTTTCAACGCATTCCAGGTAGTTCGTAGCGTTGAGTAATGATGCATCTGGCTAATCATTGTTCAATGTCCCGGTAGATTGCTACATTGATCAACATTCACTATGCGATAGGTGACAGACTGGTTGCAGGCGATTCTCATCAGGTCAGCGCCGGGCGACAAGATTCGAGCTTCCCATCCATGGGCGGCGAAGCGCAGACTATTTCAAGCGTCTCTGACACTGGGGTGATTTGCCCATCACCAGCGCTGTCGCATCATGTGAGGAGCTTAGGACGACATATGCAGTGCTTCCTGACATGACGTAGGAATTCGACCACTCTAGTCCATCCTCAAGACATGCTTCTGACGAATCCACGCTGGTCTATGAGCCGCCGGTGGATACAGTCTCATCCTGTGCGAATGGCGAGTTCAACCATCTTGAGGAAGGACTTCGAGAACTCGAGGATCATGGAGTATGTTCTATCCGGACCTGAGGTTGATGTTGCATTGCACTGACAATCGCTCGCAGTTCCGCCGCTACGACCGCTTTGAACTTACCATCAAGGACAGCCCTCGCATCAAAGAGGGCTGGTGGGGCGGGGCACGACACGCTGATGTCGAAGGACGTACGCTCCTTGTCAAAAGTTATGATGAACCCAGATATGCCGCTTCAAAGGTGATCGCACCTTCCCCTTCGCGGCTGAAACGTGTGCTGATCCTTTGGTCAGAAATGGATCCGCGACGTGAGAATTCTTCAGAATGTCTTGTAAGTCTCAAGTTGTGCATTTTCTCCTTCAATGCAGTAGCGTTGACGGCGTGTACCGATAGCCATCCGAATCTCCCACAGATGGTTGGGTTCTCGGGCGGGGAATGTCCGACACCTTTCATCCTGCTTGCGAATGGTGAGCGCGCTCGGATGATCTATTATGGAATGCACAGCTCAGAGCACTGTACAGTTCAGACAAGGCTTCCACAAGCATTGGTCTTGGACAAACTTCAGCATGGAACGCTCGCCGACTGCGTCCTGCTCATCAGTCGTTTTGTGAGTACTGTCAGTAAGGTGATACAACAATTCCCTATTTAATTGCGTCTCACGTTCAGTATCTTGACCACATGGTCCGTCGCATACTAAACAAGGTTTATGGCGACGGTTCCTGACGCAGCTGTAACATGCAAGGATGCAGCCTTATATCTGCAACAACAGCTACATCTGTCCGACTCCAAGATCCAAGACTACGTTGAGGTAAGCACGGGCACCATACAGGCGTGGACAACTGGTTCTCATAGCATGACTGGCACGTAGAACGCGAGCTATCGTATAGACGGTCAACAGACCCTTGTCATGGGCTTACCTCCACCTGAAGTGGATCGCTGGGTGTCGGCGCGAAACTACGATCTGTCCCATTCGGTCAGAAGGGTCTACCTAGATGTACGTCTTACCCCCTTAGTACTGCGGGAGAAGCTAAATCAACGCTTGTAGCTGCTCCCGAGCCGTGGGATGGTGCCCGAGAAGCCTTACGAGATGTCTGAGATCACAAGTACGCTAGGTAGTCGTTCTATTTGACAGTCACTAACCTATCTGGCGACATAGCTACCAATCTATCAATGCAGCGCAAAATCAGTCATCTCACGCACGCTTTGAACGTCATTCTACCGAGTTCGCATTCCGCCCCACGAATTTCGGAGCTACAGGAGTTACTGCAAGCAGACGAGAACAACGCAGAGTCTATGGCGGCGTCACTGCACCTCCGGAAGCTGAAAGGCGTTACGGGGGAGCTTCGTACCAACCCTCCTGTCTGGAGGGAAAAGCTCGTCCCCGCCTACACATACTCGGTGGGCGACCTGGGGTACCTCGAGAGAAAAGGAGACTTCGCATCTTTCAAATTGATTTGCAACGTCATTCAAGAGGGCCACACCTCATTCTCTGTTGTTCAGTCACAGTATGGTACGCAGTTAGAATGGCGTCGCGGCCCACTCGTACACGTTCCACTGGACGCATTCCCATGTCCCGGAAACCGGCAAGGGTAAGTCATCTATTCGAAGTCTAGTCTTCTGCCTCTTCATTCGTTCTCCTTGATAGATGGGCAGTCGTCGTAGAGCCGAACGCGGATTACACTGTCACGGCTGTGCATGAAGAGCAAGTGAATCCTATCGGTCCTGCTGGACAGTACGTCTTGGACTATGGCCAGTATTTTGCCAAGACACACGGAGTCGATCCGGATGACCTGATGCTCAGTAAGGCGGCCTTCTATCATCATTTCAGTCATCCACTGACTGATTTCTACTATCAGTCACCCGCGTAGGCGTAGATCTTCGCTTCAGACTGAAAGGCCCTTTCAAGCCATCTATGCATAACAATTCGTCTTCAGCATTCCCTCAACATGGCTTCGGACAACACTCTCACATGTCGCGTGGGTTCGGTCACGCCGGGGGATTTGCACGCCATCCACACGTCGGTCACCACTTCGGGCAGCCCCCTACTCCGCCAACCATCGTCTACATATCAACCTCCATTAACAAGGCCAGTCCGCCAACTTGGTCGCAAAGCCCGGTGTTCGATCTGCAGGCGGAGCCGTCTCATAACGTAGCGGGCTGTACGATTGGAGCAGAGGCGTGAGTCCTGTCTGCATTATGGCGCCTTTTACACACTCACGTCAAGCAGTCCACTGGGATACTTGAATTACGTGCAATTGCATGAGGAAGATTTTCTAGGCACAGAGGGAGCGACGCCTCCGTCAACAATGAAGGCAAAACGGGAACGGCCCAAGGCATCAAAAATCCCTCCCAGGCCTGCGCGAACTGGAGGTTGGAGTCGGGGTATGCGCCGAAAAGTATCCAAGCCTTCCTCGTCAAAGACATAGGCAACTCGCTGCGCTGGAACCATAATATTCACTTCGTAGGCTTCATACATTATATGATATGCGGCATGCATTGTAGTTCGCACCCAACGTCCTGGATCATGCGTTCCGATTCCAAAATATTAACGATCTTTAGCTACATGCTGACCGAGAATTGACCGTATCATAGGACCACGAGCGTATTCCGAAGTAACGACTTAACTTACTTGCGAGGTCCATCACTACTCGTTACAAGAAGATGCAGTGGTGCGAATGCAGTATCAAAGGGATATTTGCTGTCCGTGCCGTGTGATGAAAGGCGTGGTAGTAGTGAACAGCCGCGATGCAGTCGTAAAAGGTCATAAGGGTCGTGGTATCGTACCGTATAGCGTCTACCCAGAGGTGAATCACTTCGGGGAAGAAGTCTTGCCGTTGGTCTTGGGCTTGCCCGCGGGCGACGGCGGGGTAGAGGGTGCTCCGTTGTTGTGTGCGCCTAGATGAGGGGGACGAATCCCACAGTCCATCGGCGCATTCTCCCCGCACTTGACGTGAGCACTGCACCGTAACAAACCCATAATCAGCTCCGCGCAGTTATACATCTGATACGAACAACGTACCGCAGACCGCAGTCGTCGCACTCGAGGACGGGCTTCCATCCCAGTCTCTTACCACAGATGTCGCACTTCGCGGCCAGCAGAGTACTCGAAAAGATGAACTCGAGCGGGTTCCTACTCCAGAGCGCATCCGCCGGCGTCGGCGACCCACTTCTGCTCCGCGCCTCTGCCGCACCTGTACGCTTCGCGCCAGGTTTCAACAGCGAGAAACGGTGAACAAGAGGCAGGCTGGAACTGCGAATTGTGGAACCGCCCTCCGTGGCGACGGCAGCAGAGATCGACGACGACGACGCTGTGTAGTAGGACTCGATGGACAACAGCGACTCGGCCGGAGTAGGCGCTTCCGCTCCTATGGGCGCAGGGTCCGCCGTGGTCGGTGGGCGGATAGTCATGATAGATGATAGAGAAGGGGCGAAAGACTCGGTGCTAGGCGCATGGGATTTGATGACCGTGGTACTATAGTCCGAATGGGTACTAGATGTACCATCGAGTAATGGTTGTCCGCTATCGCCTCTACCTATACGAGGGTCAATGGTTGCATGCGAATACATTGACGTGAGACGTACCTGCCACTGTATCACCCCACACGCTGTTCAGATCGACATGACTCAACGTCTCGATGGTCTGCGCATACTCTTCGTCACTATCCGCGCTCTCGTCGCTTGAGTGCACCTCTAATGTCGATGACGAGCGTATGTCTTTTCCGACGCCCATCCCAAAGCTCGGTATCCGAGGTGCAGCGCCGGCTCGCCGCTGGCCACCTGTCATGAATTTGACGGTTCCGAGATGCATGTCGTCCGCCTCGGACGGGCGCGAAAGCACCTCAGCCTCGATCTCCCGCAGCTTATCCATAATCATGCGTGTGTTCGGGCGCAGCGCTGGGTCCTGTGCAAGACAGTCAAGCGCGAGCTGAAGAAACGCAGGCGGACAGCCCGGGCTAGCTAAGTGGCGCAATTCGTCCGGGTCGATCTCGAAAAGCGGTGGCGTCCGTCGGAACGTGTTGTCGTCTGCCAGACGTCGCGCAGCGATCTCGCAGAAGATGACGCCCAGGGAGAAAATGTCCGTCGGCAAGTCGAACTCCGTGCCAGTTAGGATCTCCGGCGACATGTACGAGTCAGTGCCACAGAACGTGAGTCGCTTCGATTCTTCTGCGTTGCGAGCAGCGATACGCGCAAAGCCGAAGTCCGTGATCTTGAGACGACCATTTGCAGTCACCAATAAGTTCTCGCCCTTGAGGTCCCGATGGATGCACTTTCGCGCGTGGAGGTAGGCCAATGCGCGTGCTATGTCAGTCGCGAAGGATATACGTAGCCGCCATGGAAACGGTTTGGACTTGTCGTGGATGTAGAGTCGCAGATTACCATTGTCAATGAACTCCGAAATGATGAAGATGCGGCCATCGGGCGCTTGAGAGAGACCGAGGTACAGAACGACATTAGGGTGTCGCGCTTCCCTATGAGTAAGCACGGTTAGCCAAATCCTCTGAGCTGACTGTGCCACAATTTAGAACAGGCCTCAATAATCAGTGTGGAGCGGCTTTGAGCGATGGGTGTATATAGCACGCGTGCATCGGGCGCAGGATGGTAGACGGGAAATTTCCGCCTATACCAAACGTTCACACCAACCCGCTTGCCGGAGTAGCCACACTAGGCTGTAACGGGCGAGCAAGAGTTGCTGTTGTGCGGAGGCATTGGATGCGGTGCGTTCTCGCAAGCTAATAGCGCGCTTCCCGACGTGCACCAAAACGTAAAGAGCCATCGATACACATTGCCAAATTTCAGTCCTGGTGCCCGCCCGAAAGCGAGGACGAAGAGCAGAGGACCCGTGATAGAAAGAGAAAGCGAAGTAAACTCACTTCATTAACCGCCATTCGCGCTCAAAGTACTTCGCGACATCGTAGTCATTAGACGGAAGAACCTCCTTGATCGCGACGTCGATTCCAAGGTAATTTCCTACACGAGACGTTCAGTTGTCTAGCTCATGACCTGACTTCGTCACGCACCTTTGTACACATTCCCGAACGACCCCGAGCCCAACTTCTTCCAGTCGCCCTTGATGTCCTGAGCGATGTTAGACTCGCGTACACAAAGCTAAAACAGAACGTACATCGAAAGGTATAACATCAAACGCATCGGAGTGCATCAAATTGGGAGGCATTGCGGCTGCAGACCACAACGACGAGGCAGGGATGAGCGTCGCCCGAGGCGGTGACGGCGGTGGTGGTGGTAGGAACGCTGAGTGCCACTGCAGCTTGTGGCCTCGGGGCCTCAGGCCCAGGGGCACGCGTGACGCACGCGGGCGACCCGAGGTGTTTCGGTTCGATTCGATTCGGCTCGTGTTGCCAAGTCCTCGACGCCACTGCAGTGAGCCTAACTTGAGGCTTGCTTGAAGCGCGTAGTATTTCAGTCGCGACTTCATCCCGGCGGGCTGCTGCGTGCATATGAGTAACTGAGGACTATGATATAAGGCATATATTCGTGTATGAGCACTTAGTTATACTTATCAGCAAAGCTTACAGCGTATGCCTAGATGCGCGCTACATGATATTTCCAGATTACAACTCAAGCAGTCCCTGCCGGAACCCAGGATCATTCTCCATAAACTTACGCACGCACGTCTCAAAGTGCTTGAGCAGCCTCCCCTTATCGAACCGCTTCCACACCCCGCACCCCTCGCACCACCGCACCGTGCCTTCCAGCTTCCAATGGACATCCTCCAGATGCCTCTGGAAGTCGAGGTTCTTCGACCTCGCGGTGCACTGTCCCAGACGGCACACGATCTCTCCCGTCTCCTTGCTCACAGACTCTTTGTGATGCACCGCTATGAAGTGGTCCCACATCTTCGACGCGCGGTCTCGATAGGTACACCGGTCGCCACGCGGCTCCCCAGGCGGGGCCCAGTTGCAGTTGAGTACAGGGTTCCCACTGGGCTTCGGTCGACCAGCGTTCCTCCGATGCGTAGCCCTTATATGGTGCCAGAGCTCTCCCGCGTAGTCGTTGACAAGGCAGCCTGGCCATAAGCACCTGATTCTGGACAAGCTGTACTTTCTGCCTGACCCGACCGCGAGTTGCCCGACCGACTCTTTGGGAGGCCGATTGTCCAGATAGCGGATGCTGTCTGGGTCGGTCAGCGTAGTCTCGCGGGGCTCTACCTTGACTTGGGGAGCAGGGGCGGGCAGGGGCTTCCACGGCGGAAGTGGCGGAACAGACGGGAGAGGGGAAAGGCGCGGCTTCTTCTGAGGTGGCTGCTCCTGCTCCTGCTGCGGATCGGTCGCGACCTCGCTATTGTACCGCTTGCAGGGCCTGAACTTGAGGCGCGGGCGCCCTTGACGTGCCTCGCCATACGGATTAGCGTTGAACATCGACGCCGTGAGCGGCGCTGAGGGCGAAGGGATGGAAGCCAACACATGCGCCGGCGTTGTGACCACATAGGTAAGAGGCAGCATCTGGGGAGACGGTTCACGCAGCGGCACGTCCATCGCCACAGGCGACGAAGATGGTGTCCTCGACCTCGGTACCGACGAAGCGACCGATGTCTCCCGAGGGGTTCGCGCACCTGACGTGCTGCGTTCCGACAGGGGTGACAACGCATGCTGGGCTCTCGCGGCAGCGTCTGGCTTTGCGTGGGGCACCGACAGTAGCCTAGAGGCCATCTCTGCAGTAGAAGACAGAGTTTCCAGCGCAGATACGGATGCTGATCCAGAACTGAGGGGAGATGCTGGCGTCATACGGGATCTGGCTAGTGATAGACGTTGGGCAGCGAGATCGTGGATCGTGGACAATGCCCGAGCAGAGTCCATGGTGAAGGAGGTGATGGATGCCATGGATCCCAGCCGGGTAGGTGGTGGTTGTAGCGTGTTGTAGGCTACCATCGATGTAGTATCTTCCGTGTCGTGACGCCTATTGATGACACGTTAGTGGACGCCGAAGTACAAAGAAGAGGCACCGTACTGCGATGGGACGACACAACCACCGTGTATGGACACCACTTCAGGATGACGAGATGAAGCAGAATAATGGGATGAAGCAACAGAGTCCCTGGAGCTATCTGGCGCTGGTGAGATGCCGGACCTCACAATAGCGGAGACGGGGTGCGACTGAATGGCCGTGTATCATGATCAGCGTGTGACGCGTCCTCTTCGTCGACCCTAACAAAGCGCCACACTCAGCAACACAACGAATACGCACGCCAGAGGGAATGCGCTACCTTGGACGCTTCCATGGATTGAAGCCCTGACGTCGAGTGTCTCGTGCAGAGGTGTCGGATACCGCGTGTACATGGCATCAAAGGGCATGTACCTCGCTGGAAGACCACTGCCTGGTGTGGCGCCGCGTCTTCGGCTGTACTGGACTCTGAAGTTGGGGGCCGCTCGGGGCTGGTGTTGTAGGCTGACGCACTGTAGTCGTAGACGTGATCTCAGGCTCCACGTAAGGCTCGCCAGCAAGGACACGCACTTATGCCAGTTCTTGTGCCGAAGCGATCGAGAAATGGCCGGGTACAGGTGCATGGTTTCGGACGACTCTACCTGAACCTTTGTCAGCGAAGTGAAGATAGAAAACGCATGAGCGAGAGTCCGCACAGGATGAGATGCGCTCCATGGGCGGTGGTGCACATCAAGCCACCTGCTGAACAGCTACTGTCAACAGCCGCCACGCGTCCGAAGAATAGATGCATACTCGTTTGGGTCCGTGGCGTACCTATGGGACGAGTCATTGGCGACGGAGGGGGCAGGGTGTGAACGGGTGTCGAGGTGGGATGGTGGTTCCCAAAGGCTGAGAAGCGGTGGTCGATACATAGCTTGTCTTTTTGCAAGGAGTGTGGGTATTGTGCTCTACTACGGTAAGGAATGGGGGCTGGAACATGGGAAGGAGGGACGTTAGAGGGTAGCTTGAGAGTAACACAGGCTCAGAGACGACGCGACGCGGGGGGATGCATGCAGAGGACAAGGCAACCGGGACCAGTGCAATTACAACAGCGTGGCCTCGGGCTGAAAGAGGCGCGCGCTGGCCACACTTCTGGGCCACATGTGTGGCCCGTGGCCACAAGCATTCTATCCAAATCGGGCAGACAAAGCGAGCTGATAATCAGCAGCGCTGCCGGCATGATGCGCCGCCCCCATCACACGCCCGAGAACAAGGGACGCACGGGCCTCTTCCAGGGCTGATTGTTCTCCTTCCTAGCAACCTGCTCGCGTCCTCCATTTCTTGCGGGAGCAACAATGAACGACGGTCTAGGCCTCCCCACGCTGGCAACCGGCGCTAGCACAGGCGCCGCTGGTGAGAACGCCAGGAACCCATCACGGACCAGCGAATCAGGCTGTCTTGTGGCCGCCTGTGGCCGCTCGAGGCTTATGCGTTGGCCTTTCAAAGTGGTAACCGGTCAAATAAGGTCAGATGCGGCTGTATGTACGTAGACATATGTGTCTTGTCCAAACGTAATGAGTACGCGACAAGTGGCAATCAGCTAGAAGTAAATACCGCTACGTAGACGCTGAAACGTACGGTGTCGATGAGGTGAACAGTATTCCCTTGTTGTCGAGAACAGAAAGGACGTAAATAGCGTGAAGCTTGAGCTTGAGCTCTTGTGCTGCGACGGCATTGTGTGAATACAGTAGTTTACGGAATAAACATGGGAAATCGTCACAAACTCGGAACGACTCGGACCGCCCACGTCCAAATAAGGAGCGCCCGGGCCGGTCGCAGCGGTGCGCGAACCTCGGGTGTATACACGACGCCTGGGTTGTGCAAAGACTCTTTGAAAGACATCTAAAATCTGAAGTCGACGACGACGACGCTCGCTCTGCGGACAGGGTTGTTCGGAGCATGCTGGAACTAGGTGTGAAGAGCAGATAGCATTGCTACATCGGTCAAAGCAAGCGATAGCAGGACGGATATCTAGTAACAGCGCGACAAATTGCAACGGTACAGTAACACAGCAGTTGGCAAGACAAATGAGAGGTGAGATACAACGCACGATCAAAGATAGCACCTAATAGCATAACAGCAGCACAGAACTTCACCTCCGTGACGACCCTTGCACGAAGTCGGGCCCCGGGCCAGGGACGGGCACACTAGGAGGAGGAGGCGGTCCATATTCCCCGAGATGCTTCACGATACAGCTCAGTTGGTGGGCCCTCCAATTGCTCAACACGTCTCTCCGCACGTATTTCCCGCATATCTCGCACCATGTCATGTAATCTGCATGGCGCCAGTGGATCCCGTATGCGTGTCTGTGGAAAGAACGCCCGGGCTGCATCCTCGCAGTGCAGCTGCCTACTTTGCAGGCGACCTTGCCGTCGTCTGCATGCTCCTGGCCCTCCGTCGCATTTTCCTCGTCGCGTTGCTGATCGCCACTCTTCCGGCCGTCGTGATGACCGCAGTCGTGCACGGCTTGGAAGTGAATTACGACGGCTTCTGCTGTCCCAGAGTAAGCACATCCCTCCCAGCGGCAAGTAGCGACGTCGTGAGGCTCGCTTTTGCCTCTTCTGTCGTGTACAGCCCGGAGATGCTCCCACAATCCGGCTGCACGAAGTCCCAACTGACACTTTGGCCAGGGGCAGGTGAAGACGTCGTCAGGTTTGACCGTGACTTTCGCCTTCGCGCGCCTTCGCTTGGGAGGCGGTGCGTCCACATCCGCGTTCCGCTTCCTCTTCCTGTTGACTGCCTTTACGTCGTCGTCGAGCGTCGTTTGGGAGGTCGACGCGAGCGATGTTTGGGAGGTCGACGCGAGCGACGTTTGGGAAGTCGGCGCGAGCGACGTTTGGGAGGTCGGCGCGAGCGACGCGCAATACGCCTTGCTCGTCAACCGAGGGTCGATCCCCATGCAGGGGAGGGCGACGTCCAAACTGTCCCGCAGTGTTTGCTCTTCTACGGGCACTTTCGGACTAATCCGCCATGGTACGTCGGACGAGCAGAAATGAATATCGATATGAAGACAACAAACGACAGCGACGCTCACCGTTCAGCCTTCAATGACAGGAATACCTCGGAAGGTGGCCGCCAAGAATCGTTCGGCTTGATGCTCCTAGGGAGAGACGTTCAGGACAAAGGCTGCGGCCACAACAACGAACAAACAAACCTCTCGGATGCAGGCAAGGACGCGTGATGGGGAATGTTCAAGGCCGTGGAGTCCCTACAGGAAGCATTTGGTGAGTCGTTCGCGGCTATCATTAATAGGAAAGCTCACTGAAGGACGCCCGCCTCGGCAGTAGATGTCGGCAGCAAGTGCGACACGGGAAGCATCTTGATCTAATCTTTATGTTTGAACAAACGAGGATCGTTGTGACTAGGCCGGGGTGGCGTTAAATGGGCCGAGGGGCAGACAAAAAGAGGAGTAGTATGTTCGGATAGGAGTGGCAGGAGAGTAAGTGGGAGTGGCGAGCGCGCGCGAACTTAAGTATCGGCCCCCGACGCGTCGCGACGCGTCCTGTCACACGCGCGGTCACTCAGCCACGTCGGGGCCCCCCTCGCACGGTCAGATATTCCTACCCAAATCTAGCAAAGCAAAACTTAGCCGCGCCAGGCTTGCTTGCCTCAAATAAAATGACCAAATATTTGCTGACTCGCCGACCTGCGTCGAGGATAACATATATTTGCATGCTCAGCTTTGTCGCGCTTCGTCTCAAGCTCTCTAATGTCTGCAACACAATTCTAATTCTCGAAAATATACAGGAAGTGGCCCCCGAAGATGTTTCACGCGACGGAAGGTCCGTAACTGTCGGCGCATCCTGCGTGTGCAAGAGACATTGTCTGACGTACATGACTCTCCACAGAGAGCAGATGCGCACCGTGATAAAACCAACCAGGACACGCCGCTTCCAGAATGATGTCTAGTCTATCGGACGATAGAGAAACCGTACCTGCCTCCGATACTTCCATCCGCCTGAGCACTTACCACTTGATGAACCGCAGCCAACATGCACACTCGACAGATGCCCAGCGATTCATCTGGTCGTATGCTACATTATGCCAACTTCTACATGCTTTCTATCCAGTGACACCGCGATGGGTCAACTGAAACGATGAACGCGCTAATGCGTTGGGCTCTGTCGACTCTGTCCTCGATCGATGGTAGCTTATATTCCTCACAAGCGCGACGAAGTCGAGCCATTCAGGTATTCGCCCAGTTTATTAGTCGTCAATGATCATGCAGTCAATCCCGTCCACAGATCACCCGTGCCCTTCAACTGTACCAAGATGCGCGGAGGCTTTCTGCACAACCAGGCGACGAGTCTCCGGCATGGGTCCATACCTCGCCTTCTTCTGCCTTTGTTGTGCCTGAGAATGAACCTCGATGTCACTCAATATAAGTGGTCAGTGTTCAGATACCAAGAAGGAGGAAGGGATCCGTTGACGACCCATTGTCTCCCTCGAGCAGGATCCTATATAGCAGAATGCGCGGGTCTAGCTTGTCGAATGAATATCATGTGTCGTATGTCGTCATTGTCTTTAAAGGTGAGTACTTTCGCCATGCCATGGCTAGTGTCTGACTGAAACCTCGCCCGGCCTAATCCTCATTGGATGAGACGGGTACTAATCAGCTTTCAAGTTCGACTGGTCGCTACAGCTGGACACGCTTATGTTCGCTGGAGCCTGGTGGATCTTTGGCCTAAAGTTGCTTCTCGCATGGCTATAGTACTAGTACCTTCTTTCGTTTTATGGAATCAACTGTCCGTGTCGATTTGGTTATCCCATCGTCGTCTGCCCGCTTATGTTCGTGATACATGACAATGATAGTATCAATGACCACATCCTCTTAACTCTGGTTTCCTCTTGCTATAGAACGAGCCACGCCTGTCAAGCCGTGCGCACTTCGCGTCTTGTATGTGACTGAGAGGCTGAACGACCTCAGCTTTCAAATTGAGCCCTCGTACTGCCTCACATCCTGTGTTCTGATCCTATCTCAGTACTCAGACTCGTCTCGTTGCGGTATGTTTCTCGGAATCAGTTGGTCTACATTTAAGTTACACATATAATCAAACAGCGGCGACGTTAGCGCTACAGAGCGATGTACAGAGGCATGAGCAGTACGAGTACGATGCAAGCAGTACGACAACAGAGCAAAGTAAGTAAGCCAAATCAGAAGTCCCAGATATCAGTCGGAGATGGTAGTTGTAGGCATTGGGTAATGGACAAACGGAGACGGTTCCTCTACGTTGGGTTGCAATAGAGCGTCATCCATGTCCGCAAGCAGCCCGCATGGTGCCTTCGCCGTTCATCATTTCGTCTCATCTCCCCGCATGTCTCGCAGCAGTAGTGGAACTGAGGGTCATGCCAATGAGAACCAAAGGCATGCCGCCTAAACTCCTTCCCCCGCAGCACCACCTGGCCGCATCCCTGGACCTCGCAGAACACATGCTCCTTCGCCTTGAGACTGTGCCCGGCGTCGTGCACATTCCTGAAGTGCTGAATTACGGCAGCGGAGGGCCCTGCGACGTTGCACCCCCACCAACCGCAGATGACCTCAGCGGGGGCCGAGTATCCATGCTTCCCGTGGACACTCTTGATGTGTGCCCAGACCTGTGGTGTCGGGCCTGTCTCCGTACAGCCCGGCCACCGACATGCGACGATCTCCTCCTGGGCGGATCACGCTTGGCCTTTGCTACAGGGGCTCCGGAGGACTTAGCAGCACCAGAGCCGCGTTTGCGCTTCCCGAGCGCGGTGCTACTGGCCGGAATCTGTGCTGCGCCCCCTGATGTCGACGCTTCAGCTTGTTGAGCTGAATAGTATTCTGCCGCCATCGAGCCCCTCCACGCGTCCTCGGCATATGCGTCATATTGCGGGTAATAGCTAGGTTCATCGAAAGACGGAAGGTGGCCTTCCAGGCCATTCGTCAAAGCATATAAGGCGAGATCATATCTACCCTCCCAAATCAGACCCTCACAGAGGCGAGGACTTTGAAATTCACGTACGTCTCTTGCAACTCATGATGATCCACGCGTCCCGATCTACTACATGTTGGGTACGACTTGATGCCGAGCTTGACGCGTCGCTCAGAGGCGGGAGCTGACCTTCACGGCCGTCGCTCAGGACAAAATGGGCGAGTTCTAATCTACAAGGAGCGTTAGTACAGTTGCACATCGAGTATAAGCCTCTAGAAGAGCAACGCACGTTTGGCAAGCGTAAGCGACATGTTGAGAGATTATAAGGCAAATGTGAGGGATAGTATGAACGACGACGACGATTGTGGCTAGTGGCAGGCGAGAGAGGATGAACGATGCGTGGAACTCAAATAAGCGCGCTGTGTGTCCCCGAAGTAATGCAGGAAAGGGGAGGAAGAGCAGGAGTGGCAGCGGGGCAGCGGTCAGCGATTGGATTGAAGAAAGAGAGTTAGGTGCGGTAGGAATTTGAGTTGATATAACCACGGCGCGCCAAACGCGCGACAACAATCCCCGCGTCGGCGGAAGTCACCAGTTCGTGTCGTCGGTGCCCGTAACCTATACGCGACTAGAAATGATATATGTTATAGCGACGCACTTAAATTAGTGAATGCGGAAAGCCTATCCAGGTCGGAGGTTGATTGCTCGGCGAGTGGCAACGTTGTATGTAAGGTCTTACAGATTCTAGCCAGGCGGCCACAATCGCTCGTCTGCGGAATCCATTTCTGGCATAAATATGATTGCTTTCACGACTCCGGAGTGATTATACTCACAAGCGAGCGTGAAGATCCTCGACAAGATGTGGCAGTAGTGACACTCTTGGTTCCGAAGCTTCGTACACGTAGGCGGGCTCTGTCCATGCGTGACGTTCACGCTCGCTGGCTTCACCTATCCGTACTGTGCCCCCATAATTGCCCTGTAGAACTCGGTGAGCACAGGCACGCCTCGCACAACCGAACGACTCACTCACCCGCCGTTGCGACGAACAGACACTTCACGAACGACCTACCTGTGCTACACACCTTCCGACAACACGTTACACAACATTGAGACATACAAAGGGCTAGGCTATGCCGGAAGGTGGGTAGTATACAATGCATTCTTAGCAACTAGTAATATACTCTATCTCTATGTAGGATGCCGTGTCACTTCACGTCGACCAATTCACTGCTGCCCCTCAATGTCCCGCCAACCACCACCTACCCGATTCTTGCCATCCCCGTCGTCAGGCTTATACACAGGGTCGGTGCCGGCTATCCCAGGCGCCCCCGCGGCATACCTCAGCGTACGAATCTCCGCGCCCATCTCCAGGGCCCGTCGACCTTCGAGCCACTGCATCGCCTCTGCAACAAGATGCGCGTCAGCACCTCTCTTACCGAACGGACATGCCGACGGAAGTCGTCCGCAAAGGGATATACCAAGTCGTACGCACCTTTATACGTCTTCGGGACGACCTTCCTCGTCAACGGGATGTTGTGGTCCGTGCACCACGTGAACCTGAAGTTGTTCGTCGTCTGCTCCTTGCCAGTCGCGACGTCCACGACGTCCGCTTGGACACCAACATGCTATTCCGTGCGCAAATACAATCAGCCACGTCGGCGGAGACCGCGAAGGTCAATACGTACGATGAGGCCGGGGAACTTCTCGGACTGCGTCGTATGCAGAATGTGGCTCGTCAGGCGGAGGATGGAGCCAATGGGGACAGGCTTCGCGAAGGAGATGCCGTCTAAGGAGACAAAGAGAACGTGGCATCCCGTGAAAAGCTCCGCGTTCGCGAATCCAAGCTGGGTAGCACAAGCTCAGGCACGGTTCAAGTGCCACTCGGGACACAACGACGTACCTCATATGCAAGGCGCATCAAGTATCCTACAATAGTGCTACTAAGCCTCCACCAACGTCAGTGAGGGAACGAGGGGACTCACCACCAAAGATCTTCTGGTGTACACTACGAACGTAACACGTAAGTCACCACGATCACCCCATTCAACGGAGTCTGTAAGAATACTGCTGACTTTCTTTCCTGCGGGAACATCATCATACACTTCTCCAGACGCGTGTCGCCGATCCAGACCCGCTGAAGCCCATCTGGACCCACAAATGGCGCGTCCTCGTCTTTGCCCGAGCCCGTGCCGTAATTGCCATGCTGCAGGAAGAGCGTGTGCAGCTCCTCTGCCTCGGAGGAGCTGGGCGGTACGCGGTCAAGCGAGGCGGAGGTGCGCACGCGCTGACGGTCCTTGTGCGCTGTACGTGATCTGTGAACCTCACGAATGGTTCAAGGATCAGCCGAGACGCACTTTCTCCGAGGGCAAACAACTGCTTATCCTCAGGGGTGCTCAGGTTGAGCGGGTTCACCTGGGCAGCCTTATGTGTCCTCGCATCCCTGCAGACCATAAAGAACCGACCTTACCACCGACAACGTCAATCCAGCCCAGAGTTTCATCGCAGACAGATGGCACCGGCTTACCGATCATGATGGTCTGTTCCCGCCCGTCTTTCTCGAGCGCCTCCATACGGACAGCAACCTCCATTGAGCTGCGTCCCGTGTGGATGACTTGGCCGCTTAGGCGCATGTCCCGCACAGGGTACAGCGGAGCAAGCATGTCCAATCTACGACACCCCAGATGACGACGGAATGCCAGAATCGCGTGAAGGGTGCATACCGGTCAACGCTCGCAGTGACCATATAGAATCCCTGGTCCTTGCTGAGCACCTCCACGGCGGGCCCTAACATGTGCTTGTACGCGATGCCTCCCGCGAGCGAGTCCAAGTGCTCGAGCAGCATGCCCGTCCGGATGCCGCCGCTCGCATTGGTGTACTGCTCGAGCAGCTCCGGCGAACTCGCGAAGGGCAGGAGGAGCTCGCAGTACGACTCGTGCATGTAGCGCGGCACATCGGGGGGGATGCGGTTCGGGCGGGAGGTGTCCGGGTCGGCGGTAGAGGGCGGCATGGACTGGCGCATGAGCGCCTCGGACCACAGGATCCGCGAGCGGATTGGTACGACTCTATTGAAACATCAGGTGAGCACGTCGTCACACGGCTAAAGCGAGCTGACTGATGTGCAGAATCCGCTTTCTTTCCTGAACAGGATGATCAGCAATGCATGACAAGAGTGTAGGATGCACCATATCCGTACGAGACTCTTTTAGCAATCTATCCATCGTCGTGATGTCGTTCGTCTCTTCCTTAGCGCCAAGCTGGCGCTCCTTCGACAACTCGGCATTGCTGTTGCGCAAGACGGACGTCGTCGACAGGGTGCGAGCAGAAGCCGCATTGACGTTAGATCCCTGGGAATGACCAATTTTGCCCGGACGACCTGCCGGCAGCGCAGCAGCGGGCCGCGCGGTGCAGAGGTGGTGTGCAACGCGCACACGGAGTCCTGCGCTCCTGTTCGCGAGCATCGTGGAAGATTGGTTGCAGGACGATTTGGACGATGAAGGCGGCAATCCAGACAGCGAACTCGCCACCGAGCTCTCAGAGGCGGCCTGACTCGGGGAATGCAGGAACATAGCCGGGCCACCTGCCTAACAGGGAAACGGCGCGCCCCGCCGGTGGCCCTTATGCGGAAGCCCGCTCAAGTGGTGCGCTTTGTTTCAGTTCGCCCGCCATTGGCGTATATCCTCGAATGCACACGGCACGCAATTTGTGGGTCCAGGAAGGATGATAGGAGCAGCCTCTTGTCTGGATGCAATAAGCTGGTCATCTGGAGCGACGTGTTCTCCGAGTCGATCGTAGTACCTGTCTAACGAGAAACACTTTGTTCATCTGTACTGGGTTATATTCAACGTATCTTCGAGTAGGTACAAGTGAAAACAGCACAACACCTGTACTCCTGCTTGTTCTGGTACCGACCGGAGGTTCAGAACGGAGTCTGTCGACACTATGCCACGCCACGTGGCGTGCCGTACAGGTCAGGCTTGGATCCCTCGAGGTCCTTCCTCCCATCGCAGCTCCTCCTGACGACCTTCTGGCCGGTTGTTCGTTGCCTCGTCTATGGTCGTCCGATGAGTTTCATTTTGCGCGTGGCAACGATCTGAGGCATTGTAGCAGGGAGACGGACCACCCTCCTCCCCGCTCAATACCCCGTTTGCTGTTCCTGGCATAAAGACGGCATCTCCGAGTCCTTCGAGGCGCGACTTGACTCTGGTGTAACATCTGTCCGTGAGCAGATGGTCCTCTTCGTGACATCTAAGATGAGGAAGCACTAACCTCGCTGTCCGCGTGCAGACTTGGATTGGCATAGATCGCCCAGCAGAGCAACAGACCCGTCCTGTGATGCGTCGAGATACACCACCGAACGGATACAAGACGAGCGCACCGCTCCGTACATAACGAAGCAGACTCAGTGGCTATATGGAATCCAGTGCGTGGACCATGCATACCTGTGCATCCCCCGTTCTGTGCATGGCATACGCACTATACCACCATCCTGGTACACCCAGTGGGCACGAGTTGCCCCCTGCCATACCTGTGCTTCCGAGAATACCTGGAGAGCAGTGCGCTGGGAAGGGTCAGCATGAGTAGCGCTAGATGGTCGATCCGTGCGCATTCACACCTAGTGATTACGGCCCTGCATCCACGGATACGCAACGGCGACCCACAAGACGACAGTCTCTTGAATGCTGGAGGTAGGACTACTCTGCCACATCTCTGGCAGGTACGTGTGTCCAAGACCCTGACTTGACAAGCATCGTGAGGCGCGCCTTGCCTGACGCAGTGTAGAACAGAAGCTTCTGCACGTCTCCGAGTCAGCATCTTCTCTCCATAACGTGGAGAAAACGCTCGAAGACTAGGTCAAAGGAAAGGGCTAGGCTATGAGTAAGGATAGGCAGTCACCAACGAAGGACCCGTACCGCTCCTTCGCCGGCTCGAAAAGTAACGGCATGATCATCGAGACTTGCAGAGTCGTTCTCTTCGCAGCGCATGTTCGTCGGCCTGCGCGCTATGAGCGACTCTCCAAACAGTAATGCGTACGAGGACCGGTGATCGTCTCTGTAAGTGTGTTGCCCTCCGTGCCAAAGTGCTTACCGACCTCGCGTCCACCTTTGTCCGGTAGACTGGGTTCTCTTCACTCGCTGGCAGTAGACTTGTGCGTGGAGGACCTAACAATCTGCTGGGTTCAGAAACAATACAGAGGTGCGAGTAGAAGCACTTACTCTTCAAGTACGGCACCTGGAAGTGAGTTCGTGCTAGCGCCAGACAACGGAGGGTCATGTCGTATAGCGTTGTGCAGGGGCACCCGTACGCGTATCCACGTACCGCAGGGGAATAAGCTCTTCATGTCGTCCACCATTGCAGGATCTCCACGGGAAACGCAGAACAGCCGAGGGGCAAGCAAGGCCTATGGCCGAGGGCTGGCCACATCATGCGTAAGTACTGAAACATCTTCCCCGGGGAAGCATGCCTGAAGCCTCTCCGAAGAGTTGGATCCACGAGGAGCCATCTTGGCACTCTGCGGATGGCGAGAGACTGCTGGGCGTCAAAAGTGAGCCACTCCCGAATATATGTCGAAATATGCGAAAGGGCATACCGCCGGGTGCGTTCGTCTGGCTTATGCATTCAGAATCAGAGCATTCAGGAACCCTACATCCTTTTATGATAACGAGAAGGCTGACTTGAACAGGGATAGTACGAAGCGACTCCGGGAGGATGTCGCAAGAAACAAGCGACACTACTCACTACAATTTTAGTTCGCACGTCGCCAGACCTTCCGTCCATTCAGAGTGTGTCCGCGCTCCCCGCTGTCGTGCCTTAGGCGATTGGGTGCCTTCTTCACTGAAGACGACTCGGATGTCGGTGGCTGGAGGTGTCGCGTCGCGCGAGTCCCGGAACGGGCAGTTTCGTCGCTTCCCATATCGGGGAAGTCCTTGATGCACATCCGGGCAAAGGTGAGCGACTTCCGCTGCTTCTCGGACAATGCAGCTCGAAAAAAATCATTGTAGGACACAGGAATGCACGTCAATGTGGGCCGACTCGAACGGTGAAGCTGGCTTGAGCCGGGAGCTCTGCAGCGGACGGCGAGGACCGAGCGGGTGGAACTCCGGCGGTGGCTGGGATGCACCTTCGCTGGGTCTGAAATCCGTTACTGCTGTTAAATTCGTTCAGTACCCTCCCTGCTTGCTCATCCGGGACTGCCACGTCCATAAACCCCTTTCTTCCACTCCGCCCTCCTCACAGTGTATCACATACCGGCTCTTATAGCCTATCACAGTCCGACGAGGCTCATACCTACCCATTTGCCTGCACATCTCCACCATAACGAGTCGAAAATGGCCTTCTGGAGGGATGGCGGCTATTGGCAGTGGGCCAAAGACGAGGCTTCGATCCCGGAAATGGGGAGAAAGTACTATAGTACATCGTGCCTCCGCAGACAGACAGCATACTTACTCGTTCTTCGTCAGCCTGAGGCCGGTGGACTACACACCCTGCCCTGAAGAACCTTGCGCAGATACCGCGGTGATCTTTGCAACTCACATTCAAGCAGAGCTCGCCAACCAAGTAACGTAAGCGAGTGCGTAGCTCTGTGACATGGATCCCGCTGACGACGTCGTTTGCTCAGCGACTCTGAGGACGATTCGGACACTGAGAGCTCGATCGGCAGCATGTCTCGTACCTCCTCCGTATCGCACACTTTCGAGGTGCCTTCCTCCAAGCGGTACGTACGCTCTTTGCGCTAAGTTTGGTACCTCAATTTCAGGCTCATCCCTTATGCAGCCCGCTCAGAAGCCGTCTGGTACAAAGGCCAAACCGACTCCTGCCCGCCGTCCCATCAAGAAACGTGCACGGGAAGAGTCGGACGACGAGGTCGGAGGAATCTCGCGCCCTGCTAAGGCCTCACGGGGCCGGGGCGCACGGGGCCGGGGTGCACGCGTGGCTCCGACCTCCCGACGAGGCGCAGCTCCTCCCAGCGCCCCACGTACAGCGGCGCCCCGACCGCGAGGACTTCCAGCGCGAAGGGCGGTGGCGAGTCGCCGCTCGTGAGGCACTCAGGTCATCCATATCCTGCCACTCGCGCCTGGATATGAATGCTTCCTTCAAATGTACTGCTTGCCGTTGTCGTTGTCCTATTATGATGTATCTTTCCTACATGCCTGCATCACTACCCAAGTTGTATCGTCATACTAGTCCCAGTCCCCGGAACGTAGCTTAGCACCTGTACACTGCCAGTTCGTCCGAAAATGCAATTATACGAATTTTTCCACGCCTCCACTAATCAGGACGTACGACCCATATCATCCGGTCGAGATTGCGTTGCATTGTGGACGTGAGCGCGGCCCGAGCACGTAGCGGCTTGTGCCACGGAGATAATGTCGACCGCTGTTCCTGACTCTTGAGTTGTCCCATGGCCCAAGTCGCTTTGCATTGATGTTCACGCCGCTCGGGTTCAAGGACGGAAATGATCCAATGAGCTTTGTGTTTGCGGCTGTGTCATATATCAGTATGCTCAGCTAATCACCTCGAGCTCGTATACTTAGTAGCGGATTTTTCGCTCACTCTCGACCAAACGCTAGGGCAACATGCACAGGCTTCGGACGCCATCGTGTCGCCAAGCTCGCAGACGCAAATCTCCATGTGGCGCTGACCGAAGCGGCGACTTGGTGACGTCGATTGCCACTCGAGTACCATTGTACATTGTTCGCCCACAAGAGGACATCACAGTCTTAGGTTGTCCTCCCTACATATATAAACCCCCTGGCTCGCCGTTAGAGTTATTGAGAACGCTCTTCCAACTGCTGCTAACGATGACCCACTTGAGCCTGCCAGTCGCCGCTATTCCGGTATCATTCCTCCTAACCGTCTACTCTCCAGCCATCAATCATTGGCATTGCGAAATGTGCGGTTCTACAAGCACGCCACTCGCAGCGAACCACAACGTTGTCTGACGTTGCAGCAACGGCAGGTGCGGCCATGACCGTCGAAGGTCGCACCGCTAGACCGTTACCCGCTCGATGGTAACGGCACAGAAGCTCGTCCAGCCCCCTTCTCCGACCCTCTGCGAGCTCAAACCCTTTCTACTGCCTCCGGTCATGATAGCCTGAGGTCGTACGTGAGCAGAGTTCTCTTCGTTTCATATTCAATGACAGACCTGACTTAGAAACAGAAAGACGCAAGAGACCCTGCGCTACGCGGTTTTCACGAGCACGGTCGCGACTACGAGTCCTCCGCGAGTGACGTTTGCGGCCCACGTTTGGTTCGATATCCGGAGCTGGACGGCCTGTGCAACGAAGTCAGGCCATCATCGAGGCCGTCGCAAAGCCGCGCGCGAAGCTCACGTCCAGCTTCGACGACTCCGTTCCAAGGAGGACCTGGACCGGGAGCGAAAACGTGCACGAGGCTCTGCAGAGGCTTCAGAGGCTGTCGCTGAACGCTCAATGGGGCGGCGAAGCGGAAGCGTCCGACACTGATGGAGGACTCGTTTTCGTCCAACTTGAGGCCAATATCTTCGTCGCTTTCGTCGGGCCCGGAGTGACGTGAATTGTGAGCGGGGAGGACACGATCGTTTTGAGGCGTGTTTCCAGGTAATAGCAGCGTTGAATAGCTGTCGTGTATTGGCATCGCATCCGGTCGCGTCGACCGGTCGCCGCGGTCGTCATGAAGACATTGCGTTGGGATACTGGTGGAGAGGGCCTTGGCTTACTTGACGCTGTCACTCCTGGGACAGTCATGATCAGCGGGCTGGAATCTCGACTTTTCCTGGCGATCAACGGCTCACCTCGTTCGGCAGACCCCACCCCATACTCCACCTCTTCATGAGTGCTCGGAAGGATAGCCTCACCTACCGTCTCGCCCCGCGGCGCCGTTCCGTCCCGTCGTGCATGAACCCTACGTGGTTTACATTGGCACACAGATTGCTCGCCCGCTCGACCTGGACTCCCCGTGTTAGCACACAGGCTTTCTTTTGTGTCATTTCGAAGGCCGACTGGACTCACGGTGCGTCGTAGTGGCTCGACCACCACAGGGCACGATTTCACATCAGCTGTCCACGGGACTTCGGCCGAGGGGTGCGAGGACCAGCATTTTTGAGGTTCGTAGCAATGCGATTCGCAGGAAATGCATGCGAACACATGCAGGTGCGTTTCTCTGCCCCACGTCTTCCTGCACAGGGCGTCTCATGTCCATTGCGTGTCTGCACAGTCGCAATCACAGCCCCTGCAGGGAAGGCCTAGCGACCTAGTCCTGGGCGCGACGCTTTTCCCTTAGAAGGCAAGCACCGACTTTCTTCTTAGTACCCGGCCGTCCTAACAGACTTTACAGATGCGATTTCGCGCGAAATGTCTTGCGTAGGAGTCGTGAAGGTCGGCTGCCATTTCTGAACGAAGGGTCAGCACGCTTCGTAGACCAAGAACAAGAAGCGACCAAAGTCACGAACTAAGACGGGACGTACGTGACTGAGAAAGTCTCCTCCTTTGCGAAGGCCTGATTTTGTTGCGCAGATGCGAGACCGCCGTGCTTTTGTCTGAACAGGCGAAGGGGAGAATCGCCTACAGTTTCCCGGACAGGCCACGCGAACCCAGTGCGACTCGAGAAGTCCCTCTGCAGAGCTTTCTGAATAGGTCTTCTCGCAATAGCAACAAGCAGCTGGATTTCCCCACGCCGGGGAGCCGACCCTGCATTCCTCTCCTCGCGTAAAGCCGTGCGTTATCCGGGATAGTGAACAAAGAAACCGTCCCAGCCAAAGAGATGCACAGCCGTCCGTCACGACACGTCGTCCCTGTACATGTTGACGGAATCCCAGAGAACCATCCAGGTATCGAGCAAGGGCAGCACTCGGGAAGCGCAAACGCAGTTCCGGCGCTGCAGGGTCCGCCCAGTCGGACAAGCCTACCTCACTCCAGGACGAGAGTTGACCAGGTAGCGCGAAGAGAAGCCCGACGCGACGATTCTAGGTACATATTCAGCGGCGCGCCCATAAGAACCGCAGGTACCCGCGCCCCGCTGACTTGGTTGTCTGTCGTTGGCGAGGGCGCAGTGTAGCAGGGACGTCCGTTGCTATCGTTCAAGACTTCAAGGGAATGCATGACGTTGAGCACACGAAGCGTCATGTGTTCTGCGAGGTCCAGGGATGCGGCCAACAGGTGTTGCGGGGGAAAGAATTCACGCGCATGCCTTCGGTTCCCACTGGCAAGCCCCGAAGCTCCACTAGTACTGCCGCAAGATATGCGGATGGATGAGACGCATAGATCAGCGGCGGAGTCACCAGGCGGGCTGCTTGCGGCTACGGATGCAACACCATAGCAGTCCCGACTCCGAAGAGCCGTCGTCTCCGTTCGTTCGATACTCACTACCTCCAAGAGACGTTGCGGGGGAAGGAGTTCAGGCGGTATACCTCGGGTCTCCCTGAAAAGACCCAGATTTCGACGAATCAGCGACATACGGAGGGCCCAAACGCGCGTCCATGGACTTGTTGTGGCGCCAGATCGAATCTGTGTCCACTGTGACGCACAGCGAGGCACATAGTTAATGCTTCTCCGAACCGACCTGCTCAACCTTCTCAGCTCGATTCGCCGGAGAAGCCAAATTATCAGACGACACGTACCCTTCGGTCGGGAAGGTCAATGGATAGGTTTCTCGATGTAGCAGACATCGCGACAGTTCAATTCGGTCTTTTCTTGCAGGTGTACGTCGCCCTCACGTGTGATCCTCCCAGGACTGACTCCGCCACCTCAGATCACCATTTGCGCCGGGTTTTACTAGAGCACGTATCAGTCGTCGTATCGCTTGCCCCCGCTCCTTGCAAGGCCCTCCGCACCGAGTTCACTCACCTGCGCCGGCTCCTCCAGTGGAAATGGCAAGAGAAGTGTACGCATTGGTGATCCTCCGGATACAACACCCACCTTCCTCTCGCAGTGCGTCCGTTGTGTGCAGTCGCATGCGGTGCTGAGCCCTGCGAGACGTCGGCGTGCTGTTGGCGAAGACGTGTCAGTTACGGCAAGCGCCCGTTACTTAGAGTGGCTTACTTTGCGAGGAAAGCGTTGACTCAACGTCATTACGTAAGTACTCTCCCGAGCAGACTTGAGCGTCGCAAGCGAGTCCTCGCCGGAGCTTTCGTTGCCCGTTCATTCCAGTGACTAATGGATGAATGTTCGAGTGACGAGCCCAGATCGGTAGAGCTCCGAGCTCCGTTGATGCTTGCATCGGCGCAGATGAGATGATGCAGGTCGGATCCTGGAACTTCGGGAGACTCGTCCGCCACGTCATCGATGAGACGCCACCGTTTCCTGGCTAAGGCGTGTCAGGGAGACATGAACACGACACGACGGAACGGAGCCGACCAGTCCAGAGTCATTGGGCTGGCTCGCCGCCGGGCTATCCAGCCATCATGCGTCATCGACGCGACAGTGTCAGATGTTTCTTTGGAAGTCGGTTCATGCACAGTGAATACACCACGACATCGCTAGCCATGCTAGGATGAAAGTGAGATCGCGAACGCTAAGTACGATGACAAGGCGGCCCACCGACTTCAACGTCCGTCAGATCTCGAGGTCGTGCCGATCGCGTGGTCCCGGATCGATCGAGAAATGGGTGCATGGATTGTGTGAACTGGAATGGATACACGTAGGCGCGTACACAGGAGTCGAGATGCGCCAACGCCAGTTCTGTGACGGCAATCGAATGACGCGTAACGAGTGAGTGGGGGGCCCACGACTCGACGATCGGAGTCAGCCCCGCAAGTGGAAAGACGGGGTGCAGGCTGGTGCAGGCGTGTCGCTGGACTCCGGCAGCGGACGTTTTCCGATCCTCGCATATCTGGATAGTCGCAGTCAGTACGGAAGCAACGTGTGAGCCGCGGAAGCAACGCACATTCAACCCATACAATTCATCGATCATCCTTTGTGATTGGCCAATCGTGTGCGCTGCATGTGAGCGTTGGAACGCTGACGCGGAGGTGGACGATATGGATCGAACTGCGGAATCGTCGTTCGAAAGACTTGCGAAAAATCGGCCAGGTCGTCAACAACGTTCAGGCGCGAGGAAGGCTCAACGTACTCCAGCTGTTCTCCATCGTGGTCTGCGGGCTGACACCGATCGACCACCGTCTCGCATATCACAGGCACATCGTTCCGAGCTGGCGTGGTTCAAATGGCTGTCCACAAGCTGACACAATATGAGACCGTGGACGCGCTTGACTCGATCGACCGAAGTATAGGCTGCTCACCCTTCCAGTATGTGTTCTCCTTCAAAGTGTGTCTTGCGTGTCGCACTTGCATTGGGTTTGTCAACATCGTCTGTCGTTCCGACAAGAGGCACAAAGGAGACGCCGCCGGGTACGACGATCGCCGTCGCTAACCGGAAGTGGCTAAACAAGGCAGGCGTTCAGTACCCGTCGGATCTTCCCTGCAATATTCCCAAAGAGGCAGGTGGCAATGCGAACGTTTCGCCGACACTGACTGAGTGGCTGAGATCAGCCACAGCGTACCACCCTTGACATTTGGTTGAGCGTTGACGCATACGGTAGATACAATGTTTATATCCACTTGTCGAGACAGCGCAATTCTCAGCGCAGAGCAGCAGAGACCGAAAGCGAAATACAACACCTTGACGTGACGGGTACCCGGCTTCCCTTCGATCAGATGCATCATGCAAAGCGTTTGAGGCTACGTCCCTCCCCACGACGGTCTCCACGTGGCTGCCAGGTGCACTCAATAACCAGCCCTCGGCGGTCAGGGGCCCTTGTCTGCGTCCGCGCGTATCGCCTTGTTGTCTGAATCTAGGGGCTATATTAGCCTGTGAACAGGAGCCCCACACCTGCTTACCTCCCCCCTTCCCCCTGCTCGCGCACCCACTCCCCGCGACGTTGCCACCTGTCCTGGGACCGTGTCCTGAGATGCCGGAACCAGTGATAGCGGCAACAGGGAGTCGGATTGCTGTCAGTGAAGGCATACCCCAGAGCAGCGGACGCAGAGCTTCACACTAGACTGGAACATCTCGGCGCGCTACTAGCAATCGGTCAGCGAATCACCCTCGTTCATTCGAGCGAGAGCAGGACGACCTACTCGCTGCGTAGGCAGACCCGTGTGCGCGCGTACTGTTGGGCCTACGACTCGAAGAGGTCAATCTGTATCTCTTCTAGCCGCACGCCGGCGACATGCTGGCCTGTCTGAGAGGAAGATCATAAGCGGTACGTACGGCAGTCAATCTGGGATCGTTGCAGCTTACCTTCCCTGAGATGACCTCTGCACTCTGTCCCGCGGATCTACGAAGACCCCTGTGTGCGCAAACGAGTATACAAGTCGAGGCTCAATCTGCGTCTCTGCCGCAGTCACGCGCCGGTGGTCTGCCAGGAGAGACAAGCATAAGCGGTACGCGTCATTTCATCCCAGACCGTGCGTCTCACCTTCTCTTGGACAATGTCCACGGAGAACCCTGAAGCCCTCGCCGCAGATCTAGACTGTTCATGAATGGCTGCTCTTCTCGTACTGCACGGTGCATGAGGATAGCGCGCAGGGCCCCGTCGTATATCGCCGGTGAGCGTTCCTGCCAAAACGTGGGTAGGCGTGGACGTGACACGATGAACGATGCGTACCTGTGTCACATTCGCATTCCCATGGGCTCTCGTCGCAGAAGGGTGCTGATCGTATATCGCGATCAGGCTCATTCTCCCTTGACGCGCCTTGCTCGGTCCGGGGCGTAAAGGAACAACATTCCGCCGAAATGGACTCATCGTACGTCGGCGGTAAGTCTTTCCTACGAACGGCTGAGTTAAGAACGGATGTAACTGGTGTAGTCTGCTCACATTCAGCAGCCAAAGGCCAGCCCGTACTTGTTCGCAGAACAGATCGTTACGGAGACCGGACCCCCGCCTGCCACAATGATCGTCAGAGTCGAGCTTAGTGTGGTCGGGACACTTACCAGGTACTCCGTTTGGGCTGTTGTTGAGCGTGGCATGAAGTGTTCGTGGACGGGGATACATGGGTCGCTGTTACGCTGTTCGAAGTGGCCCGATGCTAGTTGAGTGAAGTGAAGTTTGATGAGTCGAGCCGCATCGCTTACAATTGGGTTGTTTGAGGTCGCGTAACTGTTGTAGGGTCACGTACATTGCTTATAATTTTGACCAAACCGCGCACCTCGTCGTAAAATCTCCCCGTGGAACAGACGTGCTACTTAGCGTATGCGGCGACGGATTCAGTGTGTGAACGGCTGCGAAGTGAGGCGAAGTGAGTACGAAGACGTCGTTCACAGCGGAGGGCGACCGTACTGTGTTCGTCTTGTGGATAGTGTCCTACGTCTTAAGGTAGGTGAGTCGTGCACTTCGCTAACAGGGTGCCTATTCTCACAGTGTGGCACGTCAGTGTCGTAGCACAGTACTCAGAATTGTCGACGCACCCTTTCAAGGCCAGGCCTGTCTATCGTAACGCATTGAGAGGTCACGGTCAGGTCGTTCCCTCTGCGAAGACACACGGTTGGGATCCATGAACAGGGCTAGAGTCCTTATTCTAGCAGCTCTGGCTGTTGAGGAATGGGGGAAGCGGAGGTGAGGGCGCCACAAGGTGAGCAGGTCGTACCCCTTCAATAACGGATGGACTCTCGCTGCTCTTCCGCTGCGAGTTCCGTTGTTGACGGTCCAGGTTGTCGAGTGGCATTGTTGGGAGACTGGAAGTGGGCGGGAAATGAAGGTGGGTGGCGCGCCACTCGCGGTTGTGGCGAGGGAATAGCAGGCGCAGATAGGTGGGATGCCCCTCTTGCGGCGCCGAATACGCGTAGAGGACCTCAGCTGACGCGTACCGAGTCCAGGTCGATAGGAAGCTTGCCGCTTCCGGGAAATCGACAGTGCTATGTGCGGGAGGATGAAGACGACGCGGGAAGTCTGCGTATGTCGAGCGGGCTCGCTTCGCCTTCCTGGACTCGTATGCACCTTCCAGTCGGTTCTATCCGAGGTCGGATGGCTAGGATTTCGATACGGCTGCCGACGTTACAGTGTTGGGTGACTGCAAGTGAGGCAACAGGTGTGGACGCAGTTCGGCGTCCACGCACCCCGCGTGCGTATCGAACGGATCCGTACCGACCTCGGGGACTCATCTACACCTCCGAGTCGGCTCTCCCCGACGAAGGTTGGGCCATACCATGTCACTGCTCTCGACGGCTCGATGTCCAGTGACTGGGAGTGGCATACCCATTTCAGGCGCAATGCAAGGTCCATGCGCACCTGCCAAATTTGGACGCCCTTGTGTTCTCTATCTGGACAATGGTGCGCCGTTTCCCTGGCGACTTTCTGCCGCCCCGTTCTGCGAGCCAATCGCAGTGCCCAGCGCAGTGCAGGGGAATACACCGAAGTGTCTGCCAGTCCCGGCCTTGCGCGGGGAGGGAGCGGGCGTGACAGAGGTCGGCTAAGCGAGGCGCAGACGGGGGCCCCGGACGTTACCACGCTATATCCTGGGACGCCAGTGTTTGGCTTCCGTCGGGTGTTTGTTTGCGCATAAATTCTAACGTCCGCTCCGCCGTCGCTCTCTCTCTCCAACCACCATCCTCCACGCGCTCTTCCCATATCTACGCGCGCCCTACTATACTTTCCTGTCTTCCGCTTCCGTACAACAGTGAACCCTGTCTTACGATACTGCCGATACCATTTCAACGAACTTAAAGATGTCGAACTATATCCACGACCCCTCCCTCTTCGTCGACTACCTTTGCTATTCTGATGAGGGACAGTAAGTCGTGACACCCCGTCTCAATGTCGTTCGACGCTGCTGACAGACCGATCGCCAGATCCCCTCCATCGTCCAAAAGCCCGTACGGCGACAGAACAATTTTTGCAAGCGATATGTCAGAAGAGGCAAAGTGAGGATCTGCTCTTGGTTAGCTTGTGGGCTTACTGATGTTTCTGGGTGTGCAGAGAGATCAATTCGTTCTTCGATTTGGACGCCTGGCCTGGCGAATCATCAGCATCAACGACGGAGCAAAGTACAAAGGAATCAGGTGCCGAAGAACTGGATAATGAGGTACAGACGCGGGAACGGGATGAGGCGGAGCAGGATACATTGCAATACAAACTCGCCCTCCCGTCTGAATGGGCATTTCAGCCCGTGCTTCCTCCCCTCCCCTCCATCCCTGTCATTCCCGTTGAACGGCCAATGCCCATGCCTCAGGAGCGGGCGCATGTTCAAGGGGCCACGTCGCTCTCGTCGCTCCCCTCCGATGTCGCCGCTGGGCCTTCCGCCTCGGTCTACTATCCTACTGTCGGCGTCACGCGCGACAGAGAGGACGAGGACGAGGACGAGGACGAGATCCCCGCGAAGAGGAGGAAGCTCGTGACCATGCCGCCGCCGCAAACCCTGCAGGGCAAGCCGGCAAAACGAAAGCGCCTCGACCTCCCAACGTACGAGTGCACCTGGCGCCACAAGGACGGGCGGACGTGCGGGTGGGAAGGAGTGGCGGAGGACGGGTGGGCACACGTCCGTCACGTCCACGGACTACAAGACCTGGTTCGCCCAGAGCCCGCCCCAACGCCGGTGCAGTGTGGATGGGGTCCCTGCACATTTACCGCATACCCCAGCGAGATCCTGGAGCACTGGACGAATACACACCGGCGTGTGTTGGCGGAGACGCTACCTTCGGGTCGGACCCGCCAAGAGACCAAGGTCCAATGCGAAGCGTGCCCCAACACCGAAACGACCGTACAGTTTCGGAACCTTGCATCACATATGACGTACAAGCACTGGCCAGAGTGCAACATGTGGTGCGATAACTGCAAAGGTCGGTTTCGGCACGACACGTTCAACACAGCGAAACGCGACCACCGCGGCCGCTGCCTGGCGGAATTCATGAAGAAAGATCCTCGCTTCCGCTAGGCATCTTGGGGTCCTGTGCTACGGGACATTGTCGTGTACGCTGTCGATTGATATTGTTGCACTGCTCTCGAGCTGTGTTCCCTGTTGTTACGTCACTCGCTGCTGTATCGCTCTAAATATGTAGTTGTGCTCGCTTTTGTATTGCTCTGACCATGTAGTCGCTTTCGATGTAGCACTGTCTACGATGCTGTGCGATACATCGTACTGTACATTGTTGTTTCCGTCTCTGAATCAAGAGCTATCGAACAGCGAACATTTCTGTCTTCAACTAAGAAACTCGCCAACACTCCGCCTTCCCGTGCGTATGTCTGGCACTGGGCCATCACGTACGAAGCCTGCGCAAGGAATATGCGTTCCATTGTGCTGAAAGACATCATGAGTTAGCCTCCCCTGCAATCAATGACTGAGGGCCTGCGTTGAGCAATCTGAGTCCCTCCAGTGGTGTAGCTTGACTGCTTGATTATGCGACCGTTCTGCGAACGGATTAGACTCTAACCGAAGGGCCGGACCCTACTTTCAGGCCTTAGGATGCGTAGAATTAGACACGTAGTACAGGCGCTTGACGAAGATAAAACGTACATGACCCGAGATGTCGTTGCTCCTACGGCAGTAACATCGGACCCGTCCGTCGTTCGGATATGCGAAGAACACATCCGCGAGCGCCACGATATCATGGCTCTCTAAATGACTCCGGCAGTGCACAGCCTTCCCTAGTAGTTCAGCCCTCCACTCCGAGCCCCACCGGAATCCCACAGGACGCAGCGAGTCGCACTTAAATAAGACCAAGTGTACTACCAGTCAGCGCAAACTAATGTCTCGCAAGTATGTCTAGAACTCACCGTGTTGCGTCAACATGTCGTCCATTGGCTCCACGAAGCCGTCGACGTGGGAGGAGTGATACGTTGGAGGGTCCCCCTGCCACACTACTTGTACCTCCGTCTTGCCGGGCGTCCATTTTGCGAGGGTGCCGACAAGCTCTGCGACACATCGATGTACTGTCGACAATGACGGGTCCGTCGAGCGCCCATGACTCAGGGTGGTTTACTAAATGAAAATCGACTAGCTCGTCACGCCGTCGTTGGATGGAATGTCATCGATTCATCGTGCATCTGTGCGGTACTACGTAACGCGTGTCAGATATGCCAAAACGGCACGATGGAAAGGGATATCTGACCTTGTCTACGAATCACCTTGAGCTATCCCCGCCGCGCTAAGGTCATCCAGCTGCGAGCGACGCGATCGCCTCAGTATCATCGCCTGACACTCGTGTTGTAGAGAATACATCCAGCACAAGATTGCTAGGATATGAGTGAGATTTTGAGCACGAAGTACGATGACAGAGAGACCCACATACCCAGTTAACATCCCTCAGAATCTGAGGCCGTGCCGGTCCCAGGTTCGTTACGGGAACGGTGCCTCATCGGGACCAACGGCGCATAGGGTGGTAGACATGTGAACACGTCTTAACGGTCATGGTCCGCCGACGCAACTTCTGTGACGAAACGACACGCAAAGAGCGCCGGGTGGGGACAAAACGTGGGGCTTCGATGCAATCAAACTCCGGGCGCATCATCCGTCTGGATGAACGGGGTCAACGTGGAAGCAGTCTATGGGCTGCGGAATCAACACAACCATCAACGGATGTGATTCGTGGATGCAGCGCCAATCCTTTGTGACTGGCGGGTCCCAGACGCCGAGAGGTCGTCGCTGCGACGCGTCATGCGAGGACGGAGGGGTTTCGAATGGTGCTGCTCTTCTGCGAAGGGCCAGGCGGCTCGACAGCTCCAATCTCGTTTGGCAGGGCATCACACCGTGGAGGTCTACGTCGTGGCTTCAGTGCAGAGCATGGGGCGATGCAGAGTCCACGGGTATAGTGATCGATGTCGCTGGCGATGAAAGCGTCAGTCGGATCCTTATTCAATCCGAGGCTACATACCCAGCATCCACTCTCTCACCAGCTAAACGCGTGACCGAGCATTATCGTGTGGACTTTTGCTGCAGCACAACGTATATGCTTACGTGTGAGGATGTAGGCCTCGGCCACTGCAGTGCTCACCACGAGCAGTGCCAGAAACAGACGCGGATGGGTGTTTGTCACGTGAACAGCTAGCCAATGAGCGTGCTCGAACGACAGTATTCTGCCTTTTCGGGTGGGGAGCGCGGAGCGCGGCGGGGCGGGGCGTTGTGGCGGGGTGGCTGTGCCGACGGAAGCGCCGAAGGTCGTCGCCAGGTCGTCGGCTCCCAAAATATTCATCCTTCGTTCATCGTAGTCTTTGCCATCAGCACAAGTTTGCCATGGTCTCTTGATTCGGATGCTCGCTCGCCCCGCCTGCCCACAGCCGTGCCTACGTGATTCTGTGCTGAAGGCCCTCGGTTGGGATACAAGAAGTCGTTGCTCGACCACCAGGTCATCGCGGTAGATGTCGATGCAGGGCCTCTGGGAGCGCTGCGATGAAGGGCGGGAATGGCCGTCCGAATGCGTTCCCCAGGGTCTACGGTCCATGTCGGGTAGGAGATGGTGACGTGCTCTCTCGTGGCTACTAGTATCAGTGATTGATTGGGTTTTTTTTTATTACTCGGGCCTAAGAACCACGGCGCGCCCTTGATTGCGATGGTCCTTTCAGCACATCCCTTGGTGTAGATGGGTGTAGTCTCTCTGCGCTTGTTCGGCACCCGCAGCTGTGTCTGACGAGAGCAGTGAGACAACATCGTAAGGCGCGAATATGGTCGGTACCTACCTGATGTCTAGAGCCCGTCCCGAGAAGGGCGCTGTTCGAATCAATCCTGACGCCGGAGTCAGGATTCGGGAGTGAGCTGGACGGGTTTTTGGGGTCGTGGACGTCAAGGCCTTCGTATGACGTGGCAACTAAGGTCCCTCCTCCTGGCAACCTTCGGGCCAGTTGCTCGTTGCCAGCTCTGTATTCGTCCGATGAGTTTCGTTGTGTGGGTGGCAGCGATATGAGGCATTGTAGCAGGGAGACTGATCGTCCTCCTCCCCGCCCAATACCCCGTTTTCTGCTCCTGGCACATATCCGAGTCCTTCGAAACGCGACTTGACCCTGGTGTAACACATGTCCGTGAGCTGCGGATGGTCCTCTTCATGATAGCTAAGACGAGGAAGCACTAACTTCGCTTCTCGCGTGCTGGCACGGGTTGGTCCTGATCATAGCAGCAGACCCGTACTGCGATGCATGTCATACATCATCGAGCAGCTCATGCCAGACGGGCGCACCCCTGCGTAAATCCAGAAGCAGACTCAGTGGCTATTTGAAACCTAGTGAGTGTTCATTCCTACCTGCGCGCCCTCCGGAGTTTCCGAGATTGCCTGGCGAAAGGTGCGGTGGGAAAGGTCAACCTGAGTACCGCTAAATGGTCGACCCGAGCTCATTCGCACCTTTATGCACCTGTGTCCTCGGATACGCAACGTCTACCCGCCAGACGACATTATCTATAGTATCTGACGCACGAATGCTCTGCCACATGCCTGGCAGCCACGCGCATTCGGGATCTTGGCTTGGCAAGCGTTGTGAGCCAAGCTTTGGCTGACGCGGTTCACGCAGAGTGATCCGCACCTCTTTTCAGTATCTCCGGTCCAGAACATGGAGGGGACAGGCTTGAAGAGTAGGTAAAGCGAAAGCGCTAGGTTGTGAGTGTGGATATGTAGTCACTAACGAAGAACCCGTACCGCTTCCTCGCCGACTCCAAACTAACGGCATGACTATCGAGACTTGCAGAGTCGCTCCCTTCACGGCGTATGGTCGTCGGCCTGTGCTATGAGCAACATCTCCAAATCAGCAATGTGTACGAAGATCCTGTGATCGTCTCAGTAAGTGCGTTACTACTCCGCGTCAAAGGTACTTACCGACCTGGCGTCCCGGTGTACGTCTTTGTCTAGTAGGCACGGACCTTTTTACTTGCTGGCAGTAGATCTGTGCGCGGAAGGACCTGGTAATGGAAACTGCGTTGAGAACCGATACAGAGGTGGTGAGTAAGAACACTTGCTTGTCAATTGCGGCACCTGCCTGGGAAGTCGTGGTCCCGTGCTAGCGCCCAGACGACGGCGGGTCGCGTCGTATAGTGGTGTACAGGGGCATATGCACACGTCGTATACACCGTATCATAGGATGTACTAGCTTTTTCAGGTCGTCCAAGCATTGCAGGATATTCACTGGGAAAAGCAGAACGACACGAGTCGAGCGACAAGCAAAGCCTATGGCCGAGAGCTGGCCACATCATGAGTAAGTCTAGAAACATCTTCTCGAGGAGGTAGACACGCCTGAAAGCCTTCTCAGACGAGCTTGGGATCCACGAGGGACCATCTTGGCACTCTGCGAATGGCGAGAGAGTGCTGGGCGCCAAAAGTGAGCCACTCCCGAATATATGTCGAAATATGCGAAAGGGCATACCGGCGGGTGAGTGCGTCTGGCTTATGCATTCAGAACATTCAGGAACCCTACACCTTCCTTAGGATAACGATAGGGCTGACTTGAACGGGGATAGTGCGAAGCGAGTCCGGGAGGATGTCGCAAGAAACAAGCGACACTACTCACTACAATTTTAGTTCGCACGTCGCCAGAGCTTCCGTCGATTCAAGGTGTGTCCGCGCTCCCCGTTTTCGGGCCTTTGGCGATTGGGTGGGTGCCTTCCCCACTCAAGACGACTCGGACGTCGGGGCTGGAGGTGTCGCGTCGCGCGAGTCCCGGAACGGGCAGTTTCGTCGCTTCCCATAACGGGGAAGTCCTTGATGCACATCCGAGCAGAGGGGAGTGATGTCTGCTGCTCTTGGGATAATGCAGCTCGAAAAGATTCATTGTAGGACACAGGAATGCACGTCAATGCGGGCCGACTTGAACGGTGAGGCTAGCTTGAGCCGGGACGCTCTGCGATGGACGGCGAGGGCCGAGCGGGTGGAACTCCGGCGGTGGCTGGGATGCACCTTCGCTGGGTCTGAAATCCGTCACTGCTGTTAAATTCGCCCAGTGCCCTCCCTGCTTCCTCATCCGGGACTGCCACGTCCACAATTTCCTTTCTTCCACTCCGCCTCCTCACAGTGTATCACTTCCCGGCTCTTCTAGTCAATAACAGTCCGACGAGGCTCATACCTACCTATTCGCCTCCACATCTCTACTATCACGAGTCGAAAATGGCTTCTGGAGGGATGGCGGCTACTGGCAGTTTGCGAAAGACGAGGCTTCGATCCCGGAAATGGGGAGAAAGTACTGTCGTACATCGTGCCTCTGCAGACAGACAGCATACTTACTCGTCCTTCGTCAGCCTGAGGCCGGCGGACTACACACCCTGCCCTGAAGAACCTTGCGCAGATACCGCGGTGATCTTTGCAACTCACATTCAAGCAGAGCTCGCCAACCAAGTAACGTAAGCGAGTGCGTAGCTCTGTGACATGGATCCCGCTGACGACGTCGTTTGCTCAGCGACTCTGAGGACGACTCTGACACTGAGAGCTCGATCGGCAGCATGTCTCGTACTTCCTCTGTATCGCACACTTTCGAGGTGCCTTCCTCCAAGCGGTACGTACACTGTTCGCGTTAGGTTTTGCACCTCAGCCTCAGGCTCATCCCGTTATGCAGCCCGCTCGCGAAGCCGTCTGGTACAAAGGCCAAACCGACTCCTGTCCGCCGTCCCATCAAGAAACGTGCACGGGAAGAGTCGGACGACGAGGTCGGAGGAATCTCGCGCCCTGCTAGGGCCTCCGGGGCCGGGGCGCACGGGGCCGGGGTGCACGCGTGGCTCCGACCTCCCGACGAGGCGCAGCTCCTCCCAGCGCCCACGTACAGCGACGCCCCGACCGCGAGGACTTCCAGCGCGAAGGGCGGTGGCGAGTCGCCGCTCGTGAGGCACTCAGGTCATCCATATCTTGCCATTCGCGCCTGGATATGAATGCTTCCTTCAAATGTACTGCTTCCCGTTGTCGTTGTCCTGTTATGATGTATCTTTACTACATGCCTGCATCACTACCCAAGTTGTATCGTCGTACTAGTCCCAGATCCCGGAACGTAGCTTAGCACCTGTACACTGCCAGTTCGTCCGAAAATGCAATTATACGCCTCCACTAATCAGGACGTACGACCCGTATCATCCGGTCGAGAACGGGTTGCGTTGTGGACGTGAGCATGGCCCGAGCACATAGCAGCCTGCTTCACAGGGACAATGTCGGCCGCTGTTCCTGACTCTTGTGTTGTCCCATGGCCCAAGTTGCTTTGCATTGATGTTCACGCCGCTCCCAGTCATGGATGGGAATGATGAAACAGGAACTGTATTTGTTGTGTCATATATAAGTCCGTTCAGCTGACCGTCCCGAGCTCGTATAGCAAACCTCTCGACACAACGCTGGGTCTACATGCGCAGACTTTGGACGTCATCCTTCCACGGAGCTCGCTGGCACAAATCTATATGTAGCGCTGCCTGAAGCGAGCTGAAGCGGCTGCCACTCGAGTAGCTTTGTACATTCACAGTCTTAGGTTTTCCTCCCTGCATATATAAATCCTCTGGTTCGCAGGTAGAGCCATTGAAAAACCTCTTCCGAGTACTGCTAACGATGATCGACTTGAACCTGCCACTCGCCGCTATTCCGGAGTCATTCCTCCTAACCATCCACACTCCAGCCATCGATCATCGACATTGCAAAATCTGCAATCAAGCACGCCACTCGCAGAGAATCACTACTCACAGGTCATGTGCGTCGTTCCAGAGGTTGCCTGACGTTACAGCAACGGTAGGCCCGGCCACGACGGTCGCAGGCGGCACCCCTAGACCGTTCTTCACCTCGATGATAACGGCAGCGAATCTCGTACAGCCCCTCGCGTCCTACCCTCTGCGAGCTCAAACTCTTTCTACCGCCTCCGGTCATCGCCAACGTTACTGCCACCTGTGTACGTCGGGTCGAGTTCGCCGCTCCAAGTCAACAACGGCGAATCTTTTTACGCGCCGGTCAGCGAATCGCGAGTCGAAAGAGAACGTGCATGGATGGGGGACGACGACTTGGATGCCGGCGACCAAGACGGTTGTGTATGTCGCTCGCAGGGACCTCGGATGGTCCGCACACGCACGGCTGCTGAGGTTGTCTGTGGTTGGCGAGGGTGCAGTGTGACAGGGACACTTCAAGAGACTGTACGACGCTGAGCACGGCGTAACGGCGGCTCGTCAGGGTCCCTCTGTGTGCCGTGAGGCCCAGGGATGCGGTCAACAGATGTTTCGAGGCAAGGAAATCAGGCGGCGTACCTTCGGCTCTCACTGGAGCGACCCGTATTTCGACAAACCAGTGATATACAGTGAGCCAACACGCGCCTCCACGGACTTGTTGCGGCGCCAGTCCGAGTCTGTGCCCGTCGTGATGCTCGGTGATGCATAGAGATTACAAGTCTCCGAACCGACCTGCTTCACCCGCTCAGCTCGATTCGCTGGAGAAGTCAAGTCATCAGAAGATGCGTACCGCTCGCTCCGGAAGTTAATGGACGTGTCCGTTCGTGTAGCGGACATTGTTGACAGTTAGCGCGAATCCGTCTCTCTCGACGAACGCCTCCTTTGCAGGTGTACGTCGAGTCGCCCTCGCCTGTGATCCTCCCAGTGCTGACGCCAACATTTCAGATCGCCATCCACGCTGGGATATACTATATAACTTGCCAACCGTTGTACTGCTTGCCCCGCCCACAACAAGACCCTCCGCACCAAACGTATACTCACCTGCCGGCTCTAGTGGAGGTGCATACATTGGTGATCCTCAGGAGGCAACGGCACACCTTCCTCTCGCAGTGCGTCTGTCGTGTGCAGTCGCATGTGGTACTGAGCTCTGCAAGACGTTGGTGTGCTGTCGAGAAAGGCGTGTCAGTTACGGCAAGCACCCGTTACTCAGAGTGGCTTACCTTACGAGGCGCGGAAAGCGTTGACTCAACGACATTACGTAAGTCCTGTCCGAACGGATTTGCGCGAGCCTTCGCCCTCAAGTCGCCCTAGAATATTCACTGGCTTTTCTTGCTAGACTGGATAAATGTTCGGTTGCTTAATCCAAATCGTAGGAACTCCGAACCCGTCCGAGCTCGCTTCGGCATAGATGAGTTGAGATGACGCCGGTCGAATCCGGGAACTTTCGGGGGATTCGTCCGCCACGTCATCGTCGAGACGATATCGAATCCTGACTTATGTGTCAGGGGGCCATGAAAACGATACGACGGAACAAATCTGACCAGTCGATAGACCATTGAGCTGGTGCGCGGCGCTGGAGGCTATCCAGCCATCATCGACGCGACAGAGTGAGATCTCTGCTTGGAAGTCGGTTCATGAATACAGCCTGACAGGCCATCCATGCTAGGATGAAAGTCAGATTGCGAACGCCGAGTACGATGACAAGCTGTGACCCACCGACTTCAATATCCGTCAGATCTCGAGGCCTTGCCGATCGCGTGGTCCCGGATCGATCGAGAAGCGGGTGCATGAACTGTCGTGTGTGAAGTGGATACATGTAGACGCGTCCACGAGTCGAGATGCGCTACCGCCAGTTCTGTGGTGGAAATGGAACAACACGTAGTTGTGGGGCCCACGACTCGACGTGACGATCGGAGCCAGTCCCACAACTGGAAAGACAGGATTCCGGCCCGGCGGACAGCGGACGTTCTCCGATCCTCGCCCATCTGAATTGCCGCAGTCAGTACGGAAGCAACGTGTGAGCCGCGGGAGCAACACACCTTTGAACGGAGACAATTCATCGAGATCCTGCCATGTGATTGGCTGCGTTGCATATGAACGTTGAAACGCTGTGGAGTGAAGGTGGGCGATCGAACTGCACGATCGTCGTTCGCAAAGACCTGCCAAAGATCTGCCGCCAGTCGTCAATGTGAAGAACGTTCAGGACCTCAGGCGCTGGGAAGGCTCAACGTACTCCAGCTGTTCTCCATCGTGATCTGCGGGCTGACACCGATCGACCACCTTCTCGCATGTCATAGGCACATCGTTCCGAGCTGGCATGGTTCAAACGGCTGTCCACAGACTGCCACACACACTATGAGACCGTGGACGCGCTTGACTCGATCGACTGAAGTATAGGCTGCTCACCCTTCTTAGTAGTATGTGTTCTTCTTCAAAGTGTGTCTTGCGCGTCTCATTTGCACTGGGTCTACGGTCAACATCGTCTGTCATCCCGACGGGGAGACACCACCGCCGGGTACGTCGATCGCCGTCGCTAACCGGAGGTTACTAAATAAGGAAGGCGTTCAGTACCCGTCGGATCTTCCCTGCAATATTCCCAAAGAGGCAGGTGGCAGTCCGAACGTTTCGCCGACCCACTTTGAGTCTGACTGAGTGGCCCAGACCAGCCACAGCGTAGTACCCCTTGCGATTCATTGTGCATCGATGTATATGGTAGATACGATGTTTTCATTCTTTCGAGACAGCGTAGGTTTTAGCGTAGCGCAGCAGAGATATAAAAGTGAAATACAACACCTTTACGTCACTGGGGACAAACTGGGTTGTGGCAGCGCCTAACATTGGCCTAACATTGGAAGACCGTGTAGATTAGTAAGCGGCGGACTAAGGCCCCCTAACACTGGACGAAAAGTGGAAATGTCACGCTCTTTGTTCGAGGCCCTCACATTGCAGACTAAACACCGCATGTCAGGTGACACGACATTGGTCGTGTTTGTCGCCATGTTAGGAGGCCGCGCAGAGGTCGATCATTGAGCATGTTAGGACAATGCTCGCGCAATGCGCGACGCCCTTCCAGAAGCCATGTGCGGGCCCAGAACAAAGCGGATATAATTTATGATGTAAGGACAATGTACGTGGGCCGAGCATTATGTATTTGCGGCACCCTAGCAGGTGCTATGTTCGGCCCACTAAAAGGCGTGATGTAAGGCGGCCAAATACGGAAAGCCCAGAATGGATGTTCGGAAGCCTGACATACTGCATGGTTCGTCACTATGTTAGGCGGCCAGAAATTCTCTGTGTCGGTCAAACGCGTTTGCGATTCGCCAAACGATTCGCCCATATTCCATAAACGATTCGCCCGTACTCGCCAAATGATTCGCCCCCTACTCGCCAAATGATTCGCCCTACTCACAAAACAATTCGCTCCACCCACAAAGACAATTCGCCTCCACTCGTGTAAATCGAAGAAGCGACTTGCGTCCATTCACGACATCATTCGCATCCATTCGCATACTGATTCATGCAGATTTGCAACACAAATGGCGGGCGTGTTTGAGTGAAATCACATCAAGGTGGTGTTCGTGCATGTCGGCGCCACCCCCATATGGGAAGATGGCGTATCTTGACTGAACTGTGAGCGCAGTCGCGAGTCAGCGCTCATGAGATGCTGACTAGGGAGCTACGTACATGACCTACCTGCGCTGGAACGGAACACAGTTCGCGCGGAACCGTTCACCCCGCCGTCAGCTTGTCTAGCGAGCGGAGCCTGCCCGAACGACTCCCTGTGCGATACCCAGAATCCTTCCTGATTCTTCAAGATGTCTGCGAGCACTACACCGCCGAGGAACGCCATGCGTTTTCTGCGCAGTGAGTCTTAGATTTCTATGAGGGATTATCAGGACGTTCGACGTTCGGCATAGCCATCATACGCGGGACGTGTGGAGCATACCTTGAGCCGTCGCGCGACGGGTCACCGCCGAGCACTTGTATGAGGTAGAGTTGGTCCATGTCCTTCTCCAGCCAGCTTCACAGGCCATGGTACACGTAGGACACGATACGGCATCCTGGATGGCCTGGAAGAGCATCATTGATACGCCCGGTTGCTCAACGTCTACGAGGTGTGGCCGGAACATGCACTAGATCGCTGCGAATCGCTCTTGATCAGTCAGCCGTTCAGCAGCTGGACGCACTGTGAGCAGACGCACAAACTCTCGTATCGACGTGCACTTACTGCGTCCACGAGGACTGTTGCCTCCGATAGTCTTATGTCGAGGTACATATCGTAGCTGACGGTGAGTCCAATGGCTTCCGACTGGTTTTCTTCAGATTTCACGCACCTGACATAGCACAGCTTCTCCTGGATCTCTCGGACAGTCTTAAAGTCACCCGCTTGTTCGACCGTGTACCTCGCATGAGCCGAACCTTGATCAGATACCGCGTTACGTCCCGGCCAGCCATATTCAGCCAACGTGTGAGATGCAGTAGAGCGAAGCCATCGTGAAATCGTCACCGGTGTCGACGACCACACCAGTAGTGAGACCTGCGTTCAAGCATCAGTGGCTGCACGGCGGCGCAAGCTAGGCATCCGACGTACCTAGCACATACAGCAAGAACCCGGCCTGAAGCCCCCTGAAACCGAAGGCTGTTCTGATCAACGCTCCGTCGCAGCTCCTGCATCGGGTTCGCGTCAACCCCATCCATGTCCATCCCGTCTCCGCTTCCTCCCGCCTCCCCGTCGGCACCCTCGCTCTGCAAGGAGCCAAAGATCGATCCACCAGACATGGTCGACCAGTCGAGCCCGTCGAGCAGCTCCGCGAACACGTAGGTAGACCTCCTCGAGTGCGTGCGCAGGGGCCCGGTCATGACGCCGACCTCGATGTTCGCGCCCGGCGGCGGGAACACGTTGAACTCCGTCATTTGGACAGGCGTAAGCTCGTACTCTCCTGGCTCCCCCCGTAGCATTGGCGTTTGCGCCGCTGAAGCCGTCGTCCAGGGCCTACGGTTGGACACAGTCCAGCCCTCAGAGGTCCGACAAAGGCATGCCGGACTGCATCATGTCCTGTAGCTCACACGTCGATCAGTGAAGGCCACGACGCGTCTGGTGGACGAGAAAAACACGTACCCCATCAGCTCCAAAAGGGTTGAGTTCATGAACCTATAGTCGGGGTCCATGTTCGACGGTCCAGTATCATTCGATACATCCATCGCAGTCTTCTCCCTTCAGCTCCGCAGACGAGGATCCTGAGTCTGCTGCAGATACTACGATGTTCGGAGCATCCGCGGGAGCGGATGTTGAGGCAGACGACGCGTCCACCATGGGTAGCTCGACAGTCTGCGAACTCGAGGCCCAGGGGGGCGAGATGCGCTCGGCCGTGAGCGACACAGGCGCAGGCTACACTTTGCTTGGTACGAGAGGCGGGGGCATGCGTGAATCGTACGCAGGTTGCTTTCCTTTCCCAGCCCGTGGCCGTTTCTCCGTCGGCGGCAACATGACGGACGTCCAGGGAAGGACATCTTCACGTCCTGCGCGTCGTCCTCCCCGGGAAGTCGCCAGCGACAGACAAGGGACTGGGCGTCCAGGTCGGCGACGAGGCGGCCGAGAGTGGTGGAGAGCGCGGGGCGGTAGGGGTGGTTGAGATGCACAAAAGGCGGTTGCGGGAGCTGGGGAGGCGGCCCCGGGACGAAGAGATCCTGCTGAACGTACGGTACGTGACGCGACTTGGCCTTCTTCAGCTCCTCCTTCACTCTCGCCTTCTCAGCCTTCTCCTCTTCCTTGCGTTTCTCCTTGTCCTCCTTCTTCACCGGTTGGAACTTGTACCCAGGGAACACCTGCGGATGCTCTTGTCTCTTGGTATCGGCGATGTGTTCATACTCGTGCTTGACTCATGGATTCCCGGACTTCCAGGTGAGTGCGATGTCGCGCGAATCGTCAGCTTACAGACGCAAAGCAGAGCGAGCAGTGCAGCGCGACGACGTGATGGAGCAAGGTGAGGTCCACGTGAGATTAGACAGATTGAGGTTGAGAAGGAGGACAGGTATGGACGTGTAGTTGCACGCGAACAATGAACGTTTTGAGTTGATCTGCAAGCGTGTCCCCTTGAGCGTTCGCACAAATAATATCGAACAAAGTGCAACTCACAACACTAGCCCAAGCAAGCGACGGCGTATCGTTCGTTTTCATCCAGCCGTTTGTCTTTGTGAAAGAGTTCGTGATCCTCACGTCCGGGGTGAACCCTTTAACCTCCGGCTACGCACCGTTTTGTGAAATTGGCTACCCCGGACGCGAGGTATATCCAGTGCCTGACGGCGCAGACGTTGGCGGAGGTGTAGAGCCAGTCAGAACCGGGGCAGATGCGGCGGCCACGGCCATCTGAAGTTGAGCGGAAGATGCGCACGGGTCGCCACTTCGACTGTCGTTGTCCCCGTCAGCCAGCTGGTCCATATTCAAGGACTGCAGCTGCGTTCAAGCATCAGTGGTGGCAGCACGGCGACACAAGCTAGGCGTCCGACGTGCCTTACGCATACAGCAATCACGTGGCCTGAACAGCGATATGCACGCCCTGATGCCCATACTCCTCGAGGACGCGGAGCTTCTCATCGAAGACGTAGGCCCATTTACGCACCATACTGTGCTCCACGGGCTGCGTGACTTGCAGGTCATTCCGGTTTTCTGTTGCCTCGTCGTCGATCATCATATCTTGACGACCGCCGTGCGAACTCGCTCCTGCGCCCGCAGGATCGGGCGATCGACAATCGACGGGAATTCTACGCGCAATTGCTTTCAGCTGAGGTCTACCGCTCGTGAAAAGATGGACGCACTGTGTTTGGAACCCGCATCACCGATTTTTGACGAGATGCGACCGATGACGGCCTCCCTATGAAGAATCGCCGCACGATTGACGAGGATGAGTGTTCGCAAGGTTTCCTGGCGGTAGATGATCGGGTGGAAGGAACTGTCGTTCGTCGCCTGCGGCAAGGCGCCCTCAAACGCGACTTGTCGTAGAACATCGTCTTCATGCTGTGCTGATGAGGGCGATTGCTGACGCGGTGAATTAGGAAACGTAGACGACGGTGTAGAGACCTTTTCAATCAAATTTCAGTGATCTGGAGTGCTTGCATCGGTGGCACCCCCGACGGCGATACCGACGTTGGCACGGGAGGAGGGGCGTGAGCACTATCACTGGTCTCGGAGGAGAGGCCTTGCGCAACTGTCGGCGTCGAGGATCATCCCGTCGAACGGAACGTCTTCGCCAACAGCGTCCTTGAGCACTTTGGCCGGGGATGTGGTCGTTGAGACAGAGACAACGATCAGTTTCCTTCGCGGAGAGCGAGCTGGTCGCCGATAACCACCTTGACCTTGAAGTCGAGGGCGTGCCATGGGGTCGCCGAGTGCTTGCTTGGCGTCCGAACAGGGATGGTTGGTTCATCTAGGCGAGACTCTTGCGAATCGTAGTCGTGACCGGGCAAGCGACGCGGTGTAGAATGAAGAACATGTTGGGACCAGTTATCCGTGGAGAGCACCGCACCCTCGGTCTCGCCCCGTTTGCAAGCTAACCCCTACGCACATTCTCAGTTAGTTACCGTTGAGAGCGAACTTGTATAGGATTACACGTACAGATCGCAGCGATAATCACCAATCTTCCTGCTCTGGTGAAGAGGTCCACCCGTGAGCACAGCATGATCGAATCGAGACGTCGACGGCGGCAGTCGGCGGGGACGATGTATCAGAATCTGCGAGCAGGAGGATGATACTGACGACATACTCCCGATCCAGGGGTTGTTGCTCGCCATTCGACAGAAGGATAGCGATAAAGCGCCGCACCTAGGAAAGCGTGTTCCATGTGAATGACAAGGGCCTAACACCACATGACGCTGGAAAGTGAGATGGAGAGAATAGCAACGAACTAACAATTACGTTCCTCTGACACAGGCATGCTCCCGCCGAGCAACTCGGGGCGACGATCGGCACTCCTTGCCAGTCAGACCGTTTCGATCCAACCGGAGGGGCGTGAAGGACATGCCCGACGACGATGGCCTCGCGGTCGACCTTTTCTGAATCGCGAAAACCCTCCGCACCCGATGAAACGAGTGATCTTTCCGCCTAGGATACTATGTCGGTGTGTTAGCTCAATATGAACCTGAACAAATAGCTTGCCAGATCGGTGTACCCACACGTAGCCGTTTCGTCCTCGCGTCCAATGCTTTTTCCGCCTCCGCAACGTAACATACCCAGATTGAGTGACCATCTCGTTATGACCTGTAAACAACTCATACGGCGGCAGCGCGACCTGCCTCCACACCTCCATAAACACCCTCTCTTCCCCTTTCTCCCGTTCTCTCGCCGGCGCTGCCCCTTGTCATCCGCCTCATCCTCTAACGACACACACTTCTTCTTGCCCGAATCCGCGTACCCGTTCGCGGATGCTCTAGGGGCGGAGCATAGCGACAGCGCGGAGGACGTACGGGAGACCGATGATCACCGCTCTCAAGGAACGCATTCAGGGCTTCATTCGTGACCGTGATCGCGAACATCGGGTCATGCAGGCACGCCGGCGCGACGTTGTTCGGCGCTTTCGTTCTGTATATCTCCCAGAAGCTCGGTGCCTTGCCCACCGCCCTGCTTGCACCCGCACCAGCACTCGCGGAGGCAGGCGTGACCTTGGCGATCGCGCGCGAGGGCAGAGCAGAGTAGAGTATGGACGTCAGGTTGAGGTGCGCCGCGAGATCCTTCTCGATGGTGCGCTGGATGAACGCCATCGTCTCCTCGTCGAAGGGCGCGTACATGAACGCGGAGATAGCGGGACCGAGGCAGTCGGCGATGCCTGCGAGCGTGAACGACTTGAGTGAGCGACGCGTCGTGGCTCGACTGATGCCCGTACTTCGTGAACGAGAGGACATACCAGTGGTAGATACTGAGGAAGCGCGGGACGAGGACGGGGACGACGATGATTGGCATGGAGGACTGCGAGGCGGGTCAGAGGAGCGCAGTTCAGGGAGGGGATAAACATACGATCAAGTGGGTTCCAGGCCCAGCATAGAGCATTGTACAGGCAGCCCAGCGAGCATCCGGAAGTCCTTCTTCTGCCACGAGATAGGCACGTACTTCGCGCGCCGTGGTTCTCAAAGCGAAACGAACCACGCGTCCGTCACCGCACGGAGTGTGCTTTGTGGTCTCCACCAAGACTCGACAAAGGCTCTTGACCATAGCAGGAGGACGGACGAGTAGACCGCTGAGTAGGCCTCGTGAAAGAAGTTATAGTACGCGCCGGAGACGGAGATGAACATGGAGGATCCCGTGTAGTATGAGAGGTGCCACGGAGTATCATGACCGACCATGACCGACTCGATGCGGTCTCAGCTGCTCGAGCCCGGCGCCGCGCCCAGGCCACCGTCCTTATGGTTGATGTTACATATGCGTGATTCAGAATGAGTCGTAGAGTCGACAGAAGGCAATAATCAGAGGTGAGATCAGCACGGCGGCAAGATTCGCAGTATGGAGGCCGCAGGTCTGTTCCGGGGCTGTCAGTGCGTCCATCATACTAACACGATATCCACTCACCGGTCACGCTGTGTCAGCCGTGCTAATGTACTTTGTGGACATAGTATGAGAACTAGCAGCTGCCAGTCGTTTTCTCCCCGCTCCTGACAGCACGCAAGCCGCCCGTCTTGAGGACATGTAGGAGCTTTGTCTATTAGCGCTCTGCCTGCCTTGCATTCTCGCGCGCGGCGGCATGCGTCTAGATGGCACTCTTGCTGGAGAGGAGCGAAAGGCGAAGATGAGGTCAACTCGGGGTGGTATGGCGACAGAGATTGGTGCTCAGCCCCGAGCAGAGAGAAGGGGTGTGCTGGTCGTCCAAGAGGATCAGAAAGAGTGTGTTAGGTCGGTATCCTTGACCAGCTCGGTAGAACCAGCCTCCTGTGCAGGTAGGGGACAGAATAAGAAAGAGCAGCCTGTGGTCGGGAGGGCGAACAAGTCAGGAAAACTGTATCCTCGCGCTCCACCACAGCAATCGGCAATTCCTTGGCTGACTGTGCGGTTCGATTACTTGAGACCTTCACGGCGATTACAGCTTCCGTCCGTCTCCCAATATGCTTCGACGGCTCCTTGAATCACCGCTACGGTGGTACCCCCTCCAGTCGTCGCGTTCTCCTTTGACCGTCTGACAAATCTCATTCGTTAACCATCCATCTACGAGTCATGTTGGCCGCTTACCTTCGCGCGGTAATGGCCACCCGCGTCCTATGGAGCCCACACTCACGACCTTTGTCCCTTCACCTTGAGATCGCCCATCACGACGGACTGAGGCACATAGAGCCTTATAGAGCTGTCCACTATATATGGTAGATCAGTTAGAGTGACGGAAGCATCTGTCGAATGTCTCACCAGTAGCAACGTACGAGGCCGATGTCGACGGGGATGATCTACTAGTATCGGCGCCGCGGGGGAGGCGCGAGCGCGACTCGCAATGCGCGAAATTAGCTGGATTACCCGAAATGGCAACTGCAGGCGATGTACAGTTCACGACTTTGCCTGCCAGTCCGGGCCCCATACAGTGAGTAGGTGCGTCGACGAACAAGAAGGCCGCCATTCCCTAAGTTTGCGCTTTCAAACGTTCTGACATCCATAATCCCGCACGCCCGCACATCACCTCCGTCGTGGACCTCGCCCATACACTTTCGCCCGCCCACCCAACGCCCACGGCCGTACGCTCATGCGCTCGCCGATCCAACGAGGTGTGAATATCTTCATGATAGCATTTATGTTCGTTGCGATTTACAACGGCTCGCATGACTCCAATTTCGAGATGTGGTGTCATCATAATATTACCTCTGCCAGTGCTCGCAACTCATATGCACATTCAGTGATCGGATAGAGAACAGTTACAAGAGATGGACTTGAAGATCCGTACAGGCAAGGACATATATGCTACGACGATTTCAAAGGAAATAGCCCGCCACAACCCATAACAGGTAGCCAGTCGTGGAACACAGAAGGAGCACGACGCAGGCATTGCAGAACGTGCGCCAGAAGGGCTTGTTGCTCTGTGGGCGAGCATCCTTGTCGTTCTCGCTGAAGCAGCGCCCCGCGAGCGACCAAAAACTCGCGGCAGTGGGCATCTTCGCTTTGTGCAGCACGCCTGCTGCATTATTAACCCAGCATATGGTCAACTCCGGCTGGAGAATTTCTCAGCTCTGTGTTCAAATAGATAGCGATGTTCGTACCTCGTTCAGTGAAACCTTCACGGTGTGCGAAGAGCTATGACCAGCTGGTCGTACACAGTGTGGCGTGTCACCCCGAAAAAGACATCTGTGGCAGCTGTCATTTCACCAGATCGGGGGAGGCAGAAGGGAGCGTCAAACTCACAATGATTATCAGTGAGTGGGATGAAGAAGAGCAACCCGGGCGTCGCGGCACCGCTACGAAGGTGCAGAGCGGTTTCATGGGTGAGGATCTCTTCGTAATCGCTGACATAGTACACCTTGCCCCACTGTCGGCCAAACTTCAGCGATTGATTCATGAGGGAATAGCCCAAGACTTACTTGGTTGCAGATGACGTTCGCGGGAGGCTAAAACAGCACGAACATGCGATAGCACAGTGGCGAGGGGAGAACAAAGCCATGGTGGTCGTCTGTTCCAAGGTCGGTTAGCTACGGCTTCGCCTTATATACTGCATGTGGCGCTAACATGCATCTGTGCATGTGGCGCCACATGCATTGTCCTTCGAGCAGCGGCTCAAGAGCCCAAGACAAACCTACTTCTGCCGAGGGCACCGTTATGGCTCAGAGTAAGCAGAAGGGCGCACCATCAACTACTAACGGATGCCAGAACGCCGACCTACCATACCGCGTGCATGAGGACAGGCAGGCTGAACATTGCTGGTGTCCCCAAGATGTCACTAGTGAGTCCACGAGCACAGAAGTACGCGAAGGAAGAGCACTTGAATGCGATAGTCACTAACAGCAGCGAGGGATGGCACGAAGCTGCCATGCTCTCTTCGCACCTTCAAGCCCTTGCCCTGGTGCCGCGTCGATCATATTCGGTCGATCGATGAACGCCTCCATGGCGTCTGAGTCATCGCCCGGATGGACAATGTTGACTTCGAGACCAGGACAGCCAGACGACGGGCTGGGACCGAAGCCAGGTGTATCAGAGCCTAGTCATCGCTCTCCGATGAGTTGACAGTGCTGAGGGAGGTGACCACGGGGCATCGACGGTAAAAACGGATCGCCGCCATGCAAGCGGAACCCGCCGTAGTCTCGTCACTGGAGTAGCGATCGATTCCAGAATCGCGTGGCCTGAACTCCTTCTGCAGCGGGGAAGCAGGCGCCTTGCGCTTCTGTCTCTCGTGGGGCTGGGCATCGCAGAAGCGATGCTGAAGCTGAATGATGTATCGGGGCCGTTAAAGAAGGAAGGCGTGCTCACCCTCCGACGAGCCGTCTTTCTTGCGGGATTGGAAGACGAGACGGTGACGAGGCTACGCGCTCATGCCACTACACGCAGAAGGCATCCCAGTTGAGCCGCCGTAGCTGTGGTGCACGCCTGTGAACACTCCGTCGCTGGGGGGTTTCTTTCATAACGCGATGTTCATACTGGGCGGGGACTTGTGACAGCGCCTGTCTTCGACGATTTCTTTCCACGCCTGGGATCGGACTCAAGACCCGCTCGTAGAGCTGGTAGACGCGCGCCGAAGACGAGGAACAGTACCGGAGCTCGCGCTGTGTGGCCCGCTAACGGGGGAACAGCTGGCGCCTGTGGGCTACATCATTATCGCAGTGGCCTGAGCTGAGAAAGCACATAACTAATTTTCAAAACCTACGACAACTGCGCCCTGCGCCGACTCTAGCAGTTCAACGGGCGGGAATGCGCACGTCGCTTCGTGACGTGCCCGCCCGGAAACGGCCTCTGCGACCTCTTCATTGCTCATCTGCCCCGTCTTCGTGAACATTTCGAGCGCAGGCGACTTGACCTTGACCTTGTCTTTAGCACAATGGAGCGGCGTCCGGGACACAGAACCGCCTCGAAAGCGCCCGCTCATTGTCGTCTGCGCACGCACATCAGGATCAGAACCCGAGCCATACCCGCTCTCATGGTTTGAATGAATCGCAGCATTGTCATCGACTCTGCTTGTCATTTTGAGGTGCAAGTCCGTCTCAGTGTTGACTGTGGCGTGCGGAGGTCGAGCGGGCAGCAGGCAGAGGCGCCAAAACGTCGAGGATCCGCCTTCGGCTGTTCTTTGGCTGACGCAACCTGTAACGGGGTGCTGGCTCTGGGCGCATCGGCGTAGCATACTGATGGGGGTGGCTTGCGCCTCGCGACCAGGAGAGACGAGAAGGCGTTGACGTGCTTGGCCGAATCTGCTTGGTGTCCAAGCAGAGAGGGTCGAAGATGGGGAGGCGACCAATGAGATCGAATGCGTTGCCCTCAGCCTCAAAATCATGGCCCTCGACCTCCTTGTAGGAGAAGGCGAACGCACACAAACTACCGGCGGCAATCTCCTCATCGTCACCTGCACCTCGGCCTTCTTGCGCGGGCAAACCTCGACGATTGTGCCGTTCATGCCCTTGGTACCAAACTTAAGATAGCTGGTCGATTCCTCGCGGTAGGTGATCTCGGCCCGCGTGTCAACGGGGTTTGAGCGGCTTGAGATCGAGGAGCTTGGTAGCGCGCGAGAGGTGTCGCTGAGAGCGCCCACATCGCCAGGGTCGATGCCTCTCGAAACGGAAGGTACGGGTCTTCTGTGATGTCGCTGAGACCGCGACGGTGTTTACGGCGGGAACAGTTAGAAAGTGTCGGTGATGGCGAGACTCTTGCAAGTCGTAGTCGTGACCGGACGAGCGACGCGGTGTAGAATGAAGAGCACGTTGGGACCAGTTATCCGTGGAGAGCACCGCACCCTCGGTCTCGCCCCGTTTGCAAGCTAACCCCTACGCACACTCTCAGTTAGTTACCGTTGAGAGCGAACTTGTATAGGATTACACGTACAGCACGCAGCGACAATCACTAATCTTCCTGCTCTGGTGAAGAGGTTCGCCCGTGAGGGCAGCATGATCGAATCGAGACGTCGACGGCGGCAGTCGGCGGGGACGATGTATCAGAGTCTGCGAGCAGGAGGATGATACTGACGACATACTCCCGATCCAGGGGTTGTTGCTCGCCATTCGACAGAAGGATAGCGACAAGCGCTGCACCCTCTATGACTAGGAAAGCTTGTTCCACATGAATGACAAGGATCTAACGCCATATGAGACTTGCGGATGCAAAGGCAAGGGATACGATGAACCTACAGATACGTACGTTATGTTCAGACTTGCTCAAGGCGACGGCGGGCCTCCTAGTCAGACAGCTTGAAGGCGTCCTGGGCGACGATGGTCTCGAGGTCGACCTTTATCCTTGTCGTAGATTCTCTGCACGCGATTGTATGTGCAGTGGCGTGTATACGATTTCGCGTCCTTGACCGGTTCGGTCGATCTACTCCCTGGGCCACTGTGCGATTCGTCTACTCGAGACCTTCCCAGTGCGCCACAGTCATAAGCCACTTCGTTCCGCACGACCCGGCGGTCGTCCACTCACGCACTTTGTTCATCTCCTCGAGCCTGAGATCACCCAACTCGCCCCCTCAAGCCTGGCGGACGCGCGCCGGCACAGTTCGTCAATGTGTCCTCAGAGCTCACACTCACATCAGAATCGGAGAAGGACAAATTTGAACATCTCACCAGTAGTAGCCTTCGAGGTAAGACAATAATAACTCAAAGACGAACATTCAACAGAGCCGAGAGTCAACGAACATAAGCACTGGCGCCGGGCCCGGGGGCATGGCCTCGCAAGGGAATACTTACCCAATATGGCAAGAGTAGTCCCAGGCACGTACCTACATCGCAGACGGTTGGGAGTCGTCAAGCCTACTGCACAACCCCCGGTACGTGGGTTGTTGTGTAATATATGTTCGTAATCGATAGAAGAGATTATTTGAAGAGGAGGAGGTCTGCGCAGACATCGACATACATGCTACAAACTTGAATCGACGGCGGCGATCCAGAGCTAATAGCCAGTCATGAACACTTTGAACGCGAACACACAGCCTGTCACCCAACAGAGAAGAAGCACGATACAGGCATGCCAGAAGGCATGCCTTGAAGGCTCAACCGTGGAAGGCTCAACCGTGGAAGGCTCAACTGGGGTGCTGAAGCAGAGCCCTACGAGCGACTGAAACTCCTTGGTATTGCCGAACCTCACTTTGTGTAGCATGCCTGTTCTTTCGTCGGCCCAGCAAATGATCGAATAAGGCTGGATAGTATCTCTTTAGTTACGAATTCAGGTGGAGAGCCGCGTTCCTACCTCTATAGTCACAACCTTCGCGACGCGCGGAAGAGTTATGGCGTTCGGCTGATCGTGCGCTGCGCTGCCTGTTGACACGAGGAAAACATCTGCGGTAATTGTAAATTCACGAGAGTGGCGAAGGTAGAGATGGCTAGACTCACACTCATCACCAGGAAGAAGTTTGACGATCAGAAACCCCGGATAAGGACGCCGCCATCAGGACGAACAGTGGCTTCGTGAATGGGCATTACCCGGTAATCACTGATACAGTAAACCATTGCCCCACTTTTGAGCAAACTTTAGCTGCTGACCCATGAGTGAAGGGCCCAAAACTTACCTCATTGAAGTAGGCATTTGCGGGAGACCTGTTATGATGGTCGTCTGTTCCAAGATCAGTTAGCCACGGCTTCGCTTTATATGTAGCATGTGGCACCCACATGCATCCGTGCATGTGGCGTCCACATGGATGGTCCGTCTCAAGAGCCCAAGACAGAGCCGGCTTCCACCTAGGGCACCGGTGTGGCTTGGAGTGAGTAGAAAGGCGCAACATCGAAGCCCAATGCATGATGGAACGTCGACATGGCTGTCAATACGGCGTGTGTGCGAACACGGGCAGACAGGCTTGAATATCGCTGGCGTCCCCGAGACTGTTGCATCTTGCACAGTGCAAGCCAGAATACCGTGACCCTGACATGCGCAGCGAACAGACCGAGACGGAAGGAAGGGAGAGCCTAGCACGGTAGTTAGTACGTCTACATAGGGGCCTCAGCGACGCTGGATGGAACAAAATAATTACCATAGCCCGATATTCATCACCCGAGATCTACCTCTAACGTAGAGTGTAATACGTTCCTCCTGGATCGGAAAGCAAGCTACACGCCGTCTGACGTCTCGCGGTGTCAGAGGGTGTCAGTTCGGAAGCTTAGATCACAAAGGATAGTCATAACACTATAGCACCTTATGCATAACCATCACGCAGGCGCGATTCCGACCGCCAAGCTCCTGTAAACCTATTACTGAGTTGTGAGTAAGCTACGGGCGGCCTGCCCATGTCGGTGAATACGCACCGGTAGCCAGCCAACTCGCGGGGCAAACGTCAGTAGTGAGTGCAAGAGCAGAGCCGTAGTACGTGAGGGAGGAGCGCTTGAACGCATCCTCACTAACGACAGCGAGGGATGCCACGAGACCCATAATGCTCCC